GATGCGAGGGGGAGATGGGAGCAAGAGGGAGGGGGGAGGAGGAGACTCGTTCGAACTCACGTTACGCGTGTACGTATATTCACACGTGTTACCGGGACGACATGAAGTATCGGCTTGGCCCACGCGTGACCGTCTGCACGATAATGAAAGTAATCGTCGAGAGAGAAGAGAAGAAGAAAAAAAACTTATCGCAAGCTGGCTACTTTGGATCAACTGCTTCATCTCCCTCCTCCCCCCTCCCGACCCGCTGATTAGATATTATACAAATTAAACGAGTGGCGTACAAATTGATCGCGAAATGATCGCGACATCCCGGACCGCGAGCGCAGCGCATTCGATGATAATTAATCGCACGCTCGTCGTGTGCAATTTACGTTGTGTGTCACCTCATGGATTCGAGCTAGATCCGATCGACTCGCGGGAATTCCCCGGGAGGTCACGGGGTTAAGGCACGCGTGCTGGCCGCTCGGCCACGAAAAAACGTGACGGCGACGGCGAAGGGTCCGCCCGATCTCTCGTGAGGCCCGAAAACCGTGATTCGTGACCGAGCCCTCCCTCCGAGCACTTCCCCTGTCTCCCCTTCGTGTGTCTCGTCCTTCGAGACTTTACTCTACCGGGCAGATCCCGGCGAGATAATCACGCGATTCCGGATCTCGGATATCTCGCCGCTCACGAATCTCGCGCTTCGGAAACGGATCCGTCGTCTATTCGCTCCTCGCTTGATCCGACGCGGCGCGCATCGACGCTACAATTCGATGCTATATCCCTCCTCTCTCGCAATGCACACATCCGTGAGCGACGGTAATCTTTCCTCCGAGTTGATAACACCAGCGTAACAATGTCGCGCGCACCTTCCATTTCTCCCCGCGCCTCCGTCACTTTTACAGCACTTTTTATCTCGCCCAAGCGAGTATCCGCGAGTGCTGCACGTTCCGTTCCGTTGAACTGGCTTAATCTCGAGCCGCGGCGCGGCGCCCGGTGCATCGTGCTGATGCAACGAGAGGAGCGCGAGGGCGCGATTACCGTGGGCGTATCCGCAAAGTTAACGCGATGTCCGGCGATCCGGCTACTTGAGTAGCGGCTTCGCGAGCCGAGGAACAGGTAGAGTCGAGTCGAGTCGAGTCGAGGCGAGGCGAGGCGAGGCGAGGCGAGGCGAGGCGAGGCGAACGAGTGCGCGAAGCCGTATCTACGGCGAGCGAGCGAGAATCAAAAACTGAGCGAGCAGCGATTCACGTCGGAAATGATTGAGCCGCGCCTATGAAGGGATCGACCATGAGAATATATCTGTTTATCACTGACCTATCGCTAGCATCGACTCGGGAAACGCGTATCGACAATCCTCTATCCTCGAGAGCAAGCTCGCTCGCTCTTCCTGAACGTCTCTCGTATTTCCGACAGCTTGAGTATCTCAATGGGCAATTCTCCGTTGCCAAACGTCTTAATGTTTATGTGTTCTGCAAAAATGGAGAGGAGGGTTACACGAAGGGTGTCGGCGAACGGTCGACGAGTTGCCGACCTCGAAGTACATCGATTGCGCACGCAACGTCTCGATAAATACAATTTATCGCGACGTTCCTATTCTATATTCCTATTTCGTTGTTATCGTCGCAACCGTTATCGATATTATTCGATCAACGTGCGGGAATAAGTACGCGACTGGTTATCGTAGGCTCCGCATCTCCGCGCCGAGGGAAGGTTAAAAAATTGCGCGGTATACGATTCAGGAAAGTTTGACACGGATGTGTGCGGCGTTTGACACGAATGCAACGAGCACAGCGCGACTACATTCTTGTCGCTCGCGACCCAATTATCGTCGCGACGCTCGCGTTCGCGTTCTCGCGCGCGAACTCGAGGCGGCGCGGCGAGGAGGCCAATGAGAGCGTGAACACGAGCTGAGCCGAGCTTGAACCAGTTCCGAAGCTGAGAAAATCTCTCGATGAGGCGCGTTAACAGCCGCATGGATAAGCCGCTCTCGCGCGCTGCACGAGACACGACGCACTTTTCGTCCGCACGAGTCGTCTCGCTTCGAGTTACCTCTCGCGATCACGCGAACACGACGGGGGGGGGGGGGTGGTCCTTTCCTCGTAATTACCGTTCAATCAGAAATCTCAACAGCGGGAGGAAGGGAGGGACAACCGCGCGCGTGCAAGTTGGTGGAGACTCGATAAATTATTGAGCAGACGAACTTCGAACTTTCCCGCGAGGGAAATCGTCGAGTTTCACCGAGCGCGACGATTGACGGAGATACACGTCCGCGACTACGACGACGTTCACGACGCGAAAGAAACTTTCACGTTTCTGTTGATTCGAGCACGATAACGTACTCACGTTGAAGTGCGTCGAAATTCAACAACGCCCGTAACGTTTCGAGCGTTTCGAGCAAAAAGATGAAAAACCAACTCCGCCGACTGTCGTACATTCCCTCCGGACACTCCTTTCACCCCTTCTCGCCCGCGAGAGCGATGACGTCACGTGTCAAAGGGTTCATCAAGACAATTCTGCTGAACCACTTGGCGCGCACCATTCTAGTTCGAGGTCAAGCACGGAGATCAATCGACCGGTCGACTGATCGATCGATTCCTCCGCCTCCGCGAGGTGTCGTTTCCCAAACGATCGATCGATTCCTCTGGCGTGTGTATTCTCGATGACGCCATGGCCGGAAACCGGTCGATGACGAAATGCCGAGGAGAGTCTCAGGACGACGGGACGAAAGGGGGGCAGAAAGGAGCGAGCGATCGATCGATCGATCGATTCGCAATCGGGGCTTGTTTCTCTGAAATGCATATTTGCTGGGGACGAAGGCGAGACGTCGCGCGCGCGGATATCTCTCGGTTTCTACGGATCATCCTGTCCGTTCGACCGACGCTTCTTCGGACACGCTACTTTGGACTCGCCGAGTAATGTCGTTCGTGCGAGATCTCGACGAAATTTACGCAATTTGTAGAAAGTCGCGGTCCGGCCACGCGACAAAGCTCGCGTGTGCGCGAGCGAGTACACGCGCACCCAGGCGCTCATTGAGAAATTCGAAAGTTCCCGATTAGCGACGCGCGCGGGAAGGCGCGGGGGAGGGCAAGGGAGATGCGGGAGTTATCGGCGAGCTAGCAGGTCGGTCTACAAATAGCTCGCGATATTCGCGTTATCGCTGACGCGCGCTTAGGGACAGGCGATAATCAGCGGCGGCTCGCCGCGACCAGGACGACGCAACACGACACGGACAGGACGCGGTCGATCGAAAGGACGACGCGTTTCTCGGCTTTTCATCGCGCGTCATCCGCGAAAGTTTCACCAAAGTCTTTCACACACCTGTCGTCGCACCGCCCGCGCGGCGGCGACCGTCAAGAATGAGAATGGTGGAGGAATTAGTCTCTCGCTGTATCTTTGGAATAAAAGTACAAATGCAAGTAGCGAATCCTCTCTCCGACAGATATGTTCCCTTCGACCGACTAGTGTCACCTGATGGACTACCTCGCTCGTTTCTTTTCCCTCCGGCTAGGCTAGGTTATGTGCGCTCGTTTCACTCCGAAGGGCGGATAAGTGCGATGTAATTGAACCGAAAAGAACAGATGTCATGTTAAGCGTCGTCTACAATGGCAGTAAGCAGCAAGAAGTAAGGATCAACAGTAAGAAATGGGCCAACCACAGTTGATTATTTTTGTCTTACCGCCATTGTAGATAACGCTTTAGCGAAACGAACGAAAGTTGTGTCGCTGACGAGACAAGAGCGCACGCGCGCGAACGTGCATGCATTAATCGTATAATTCACTGACAAACGATACAGCCCTGCGCGAGCATCCGGGCGCATCGAGTGCATCGAATCGCGTGGCGTCTCGGCTCGCCGCGCTCCCGCGAAAGGCCATAATTGATCGCCGCAATAATTACCGACCCATCGGCTTTGCTACGAGACGTATTATAAACGAGTACCGCTCACGAGAGCCGTCAAAATAATCGCCGAGTCGATGACTTACGATCGACTTGTGTTTCTGCCTTATTTTTTCTTCTCTTTTCTTTTCCTTTCTTTTCTTTTCTTTTCGCACGGACGTCAAGTATATTCAATCGTACCTTCACGCAACCGCACCACGCGGTGACATATCCGGTCGCGGGAGTTTCGCAAGGAGTTACGAATCTCGGTGGATTTTCGCAACTGCGTAAACTGGCTCGGAACTTGAAAGTTTTGGAATACCTTTGAAGCTCTGAAACTTGAAATCCCTGCGAGATTCCCTACGGCCCAGTAATTTGCAGCAAGATTTCTAATTTCGGGCCGTTGGATCTCTCCAACGTATCTCGTTTCGCGTGCATTTGTAAGATTCCTAGAGCGCGAGAGGAACAGGTTGCCGCGTGAATGTCTTTAATTAAAAGGTAGGTAGGAGAGACAGCGGGGCAAGACAAGAACCGGCCTAATGCCACATGGAGCGTGGAATTCCTCGACTATTTCCTTCGACTTCGCGATCGAACGCGTTCAACGACAGACCCACGTGACTGCCATTGATCTATCGTCTTGCGCTCCCCGACCTTACTACCATTTCCTATCAAAACTTTTCAGTGTTTCAACCGTTAATCTCCAACGGTAATACACGCGAAAATCTTAGACAAATAAGATCCTAAATCAAATCAATGTTTCTCTTTCGGATTAATTTCCGAGTTCCTAAACTCGGAACTCTCTCTTTTCGCGTGTCATTACGAACGAAAAGTTAGGTTGGGAAAAACTTCAACAGCTACGACACCTGAGAGAGAACTCGAGCTACCCTTCTTCCAATTCTCCAAATCTGACATGAAAATACGAAAGCAAATTGGAAGAAAGAGACAAGTGCCGCGTCGTCCATCCACCCGGACGACCGCGCTTGTCGCCAGGCGGAAGAAGAGGTGAAGAAGAAGAAGAAGAAGAAGAAGAAGAAGAAGAAGAAGAAGAAAGATCGCTCGGGCGAACGGCGCACCGCTAGAAGGAGAAGACGAAGAGAGGAAAAAGGGAGCGCACAGGTAACATCATCGCGAACTCGACTCACCTGGACTCTGACAGCGATCTCGCACATCGTATTCGCCTGGCTGCCCCCTCTTCCCTCGTTGGCGGTACACTCGGAAAGGATCCGCAACGGCACGAGCAACGACTCACTCGCATTCGAACCGCCACCGCGCGGCGAAGAGCAACGGAGCAGCGCCTCGGTCGCGCACCCTCCGGCAGCCCGGTTCGTTGTCGGTAGCGACGACGTCGCTGGCAGCAGCAACTTCACGCCGAACAACTTCGCGATCTGCTTGGCGCGGCCGCGAAGCGGCTCGATGTGTCGCTGCGCGACGCGAATGTGGCACGTGGCAGCGGACGGCGGCGCGCTGTTACTGTCGTCGTCTTCGTCCATCGTCGCATGCACCGCGACATCGCACGCGAACGAACGAACGAACGAACGAACGAACGAACGAACGAACGAACGAACGAACGAACGAACGAACGAACGAACGAACGAACGAACGAACGAACGAACGAACGAACGAACGAACGAACGAACGAACGAACGAACGAACGAACGAACGAACGAACGAACGAACGAACGAGCGAGCGAGCGAGCGAGCGAACGAACGAATAAAATGAGCGAGCGAACGAACGAACGAATAATCTCTTAGAGAGGAACACACACGCGTACTCGCGCGCGCGCGCGCGCGCGAGATCACGACGACGCGTGCACAAGCCGCGGGTGCGGCACTGCGTGATCGAGCGATGAGATGGATCGCTCGAGCTGTGTGAGGCTTGTGCGCGGAGGCGGCGCCCTTCCCCTCCTATCGCGGGAGGAGTACTTATTGCAAAAGAGAGAAGCACCGGTACCGTCGCCCGTGTACACGCGTGCACCAGCGACGCTTCGCTTAAAGAATTGTTCTTATCATTAATTACAGCGGGGCACACATACACAGTGATAAATGTCGATCGGTTAACGATACCGTCAAATTGGAGCGATAATTTTACCGAATATCTCATGTAGAAGATATTTCTCTAATTTCTACTGTCACAGCGAGTTTAGTGTTATTAGTAACGAAAGAATAATAAAAGTACTGCTGTGTATTTCTTGCTGTTTTTTTTCTCTGAGAAGTTACCTTGTCTTTCCTTGTTGTTGTTCTGCTGACTTGCGCTCTTATTATAAGTCGCGATTTCTCGTTAATAATGACAACATCGATAAGATTAAACTGATTGTTTTATGCGCTATCCGCTGTTACGCACCGATGTGTGCGTAATTGCTATATCTGTACAGACACTTGAGAAACTTGCAATAAAGTCGACACCGTAAACGTCCTAGTGGAGGTATCTAGCGGCGGCAGGATGAGTTAAAGTTGGAACAAGACTGGTCACGTATCGATAATTTATTGAAAGGTAACTTATCGGCGCAAAATTTTAAAAGCAGAATCAAACATGCACGCATCGATTTTATTCATCACAATTCATCAATTAGACAACTTCTTTAAATTTTTATTATTTTTATATTTGACCCTTTATAGGATCATGTGGAATTAAGGAAAAGCTCGAGGAAAAATGTATAAATTTACACTGCGGTTGCGTTTAAAATCATTTCTCCTTTCTTTCATATTCTTTAGAATTAAAATTACATTTAGTTAAACAATTTAAATACTTTATAAACTTAATTAAGTAATAAACAATACACCAATATTCCATAAAGAACAAATATATTAGGAACAATAAGAGTATCTAAAAATATTGCATACAAAAGATTAACTTACTATCATAGCTGATTAGTGATATTGCACATAATCACATGCATTTTGCAATTCTTTTAGTCTAACTTTTATAAATGCCGTTGAAAGATTATTAGTAATAAAAAATTATAATCAACTTAATTCTATTTAACGAAAAACGTAGCTACCTTGTGCACAGTTCATGATGGAGGAACCCAACCTCCAAATGCTTTCTCAAGTTCTTTAGCCACTGCAATGCATAAGTGATCGTTGTAGGGAGCAGCTACCACCTTCGAATCAGAAATAAATATAAATCGTATAGATACACTTCATGTGTATATACTTCAATGATATTTTAAAAAACTGTTCAACGGTGCAATACATATACTTTGCAAATAACAAAAAAAAACGACTCTTTTTTGAAAAAGGAAATTAATATTTTTAAAATATAAACAATCTTATACAAGACAATGCAAACAAGATAAAATTTGGAATTAAGCTAAATCATGTTTGGAGTTAAATACGGGTTTTGAAATCTTCGTATGCAATAAACTTATAATCTTACCTGAATACCGACTGGTAAGCCGTTTTCGTCCAAGCCCATTGGTACTTGACAAACTGGAAATCGTAGAACGTTGAACAAACACCAGTAGCTGAAGTTAAACGGACGTAATAAACTGGAGTAGTGGTAAACAGCTGGGAATGGGGCCGAAGGATACAACAGAATGCCATCGTGACCTAATACGTTCTACGGATAAATTGCCATATAAAAAATCTGTGTAACATATATACTCTTTTTATATACTTTTTATATCCTCTCTGCCATTACCGTCAGAAATTTATTCGCCATCCCAGTGACTTCTTCCGCCCATTTTGCATTGACTTTCGGTAAAAAGTCCTCATCCACCAACTTCATAATAGCAGCCAGTGTTATTTCTGATGATCCAGTAATGAAATTGTAGAGCTCTTTTTTTGCATTGGTGACATACTGAGGAGTGAATTTTTGTAAATATGAAAATAAAACGTAGGAATGGAGGAAAAGATACTTTAGTTTTGTACTAAAGTATGAAACATAAATACTATTAATTGGTATCAGTTTTGTTGTCCTGAGACATACGAGATATAATGTCATTTGAGATAAAATTTAATCTTTACCTTTCGACCTGTTATTTCCAGTTTAAAATTGAAGTTTTCACGGCTCATCCAGTACTTCCATAGCTTGAAGCTGTACTCAGAACCTGGTATTTTGATCTATAATATTTAAACAGCATTTTCTTATACCTATAAATTCTGTAGGGAAATTCTTATTTTTTATCAATATATGAAACATATAAAATTATATACAGAATATTACCTTTGTTGCACTACCTGTAAGATTTTTTAAATGTTCTACCGCTTTCTTTAACACCACTCGCATAGACTTATTCACTTTGCTTACTCTCAAGTCGCCAGAACATTCTTGATAATACACCTTCAAGTCTGCTAAGTTTACTGAATCGTACAGTCTTAACATAGTTGTGTTAGGACCAGCCAGCACTTTCAAAAATAATGTTAGATCTTCAGCTTTTTTACAAATTGGCCCAGCTGATACCATCGTATTCGGATAATCTTCCTCCCGCAATCCAATCCCAGCTATTGGAGTTACTCCTATTGATATTGACAAATACATTATCAATAATTAATTTTAATTCATATCTTGAATGATTATTAATATATTACAAAATTTAAAAATATTTTATATTATTAATATCAACATTACTATCATCTGCATACAATTTTATTACTTCTTATTATAGTTTCTAAAATATTGCTTGATATTTATTCCAAATGCAAAGCGTGATTTATATTTAAATAGCAGGCACTAATAATATAAGCTTTATCTTTAATTACATTAACCTTCACTGGGTTTAAAACCAAACAATCCATTAAAGAAAGCAGGCATTCTAGTAGACCCCCCTATGTCACTAGCAATGGAAATTGGTGCACCACATGCAGCGATTATAGCTCCTTCCCCTCCACTGCTGCCTCCCACAGTCCTAGTGGTGTTGTAAGGGTTATTTGTTTGTCCATAAACTTTGTTTCTCGATTCAATCCACAAATTGAGTTCTGGGATATTGGTTTTTGCAATTAGAATCCCACCAGCCTCCTTTAAATAACCTACTACTGTGGCATCCTTTTCTGAACGAATGTTACAGCGTGGAAGTATGCCCATAGAGTGGATCATCCCTATTGAAATGAAATTAATGATCATTAATTAATTTTATCGTTCAATTCATCAAAACTTTATTGTTTTCTCTTCTAAATTTTTAAATAAATCTTTAATATTTCTATATTTTTAAGAGTTTTAAAATATAAGAGAAGTATTTTTATGTCTATCCTTCTGACTACCTTTGGCCTGATTGCTCTCCTTGGTGGTAAAGGGAATTCCCAGAAATGGTTGTTTCATCTTTATCATTTCTATATCTATGCCTTTTTCTATCATAGCATCTACTGCTATGGCCTCTTCAATCGCATCTGAATATCTTTCTTCTACAATAGCATTGATCAAACTATTCACTTCCTGGCATCTCTTGATATAAGCTTTCACTACGTCCTCCGATGTAACTTGTCTTGTCCTGATGTATGATAAATAAATATTAGGAATCATATATATGCTTTATGTTTGAATATTCAAATTCAATTTTGAGAAAACTATGTTACAAAATTAATGAAAACTCAACCTGATTTTTTTTGCCAAAGAAACAGCACTTTCTAACAGCAGAGGATCTTTCACAGGTGGTACCTTCTTAGCTTTTTTATCATAAAATATGCCAAAAATAAAGTCTATAATGCGGTCAAAGAAGAAATGCAGTTGTATGATCAGAAATTTCAAGATACTGAAGCACAGCTTCTTGACAAATTCCAATATATTTTTGCACTCTTGAGTATCCTATATATTATATTCAAACATTAACATTAATTATTGTCCCTTACTTTAAATTTGAAACAATCTTAGATTTAATGAAATAATAATAATGAATAATCACATAATTCCTATAACAATGGTTATAATTAATATTTCTGCCATAAATGAGAAGATTCATCTTTATTTAGTATAAATATAGATACATCTAATTGTATGTAGAGATAAATAAGTTTAAAATTATATTAACACATTCGCGACATCGTGACCCACTGGTGGGTCACACTGGTTTATATTAATAGACATGCGTGTCCACCGATGGGTCACACACTATGAAGCATTGCATTGAATGAGAGCAAAGCCTTTTGTTATAAAACAAACACAAAGAAGAATATATAAAAAAATAAATTGTGCGTCTTTTAGAGTGAACCAATGGATTTATTGATTGTCGCGAACATGTTAAAATTACAAAATTATATGAAAATTAAATTTACATATTGCATTAATAAGCATTTTGAAGTTATAAATAATCAATATAATAAAATAAATTATTTTATAAACAAATTTTTACAAACATACAAGTATATATGCATATGTGACTTTTATTCTTTATGACTCTTGATTCTCATAGATTATAATGTTTCTTTAAAAAAATCAATAATGAAACTATTTTACAATTGTGAAGTTACTATGATGATATAAAATTCAATAAAATTCAAAATTTACCTGTTTTTGTAAAGAAGTACACATAATTGTCGGAAATCAGCAAAATCGAGAATTATGCAAAAATATCAATGGTATGTAGAAAAACACAGAATTGGTTATATTTAAGTTGCCGATCGTAATGTAAATTTTCTTTTTTCTTTATATATGTCGTCAATCTTTGTTAGTCTGTTTTTATCTAATGTTTTTCTACTTTTATATTTTATAAGAAATTTTCCAAAACTGTTGTAGATAATTGTTCCGTCCTCATATCTAATAACACAGAATTTAAGATTAGATATATACTGTTGATATACAGGCACGATAAAATATAAAATAATTTTAATAAGAAAAAAAAATCCTGCAAACTCACGTACACGATGGCAATAATACAATTCAGACAGAGGGTTCAAACTCGCCTCTTATGAGAAGGGGATACTATTTTCAGCGCCGCCTGGAGCACCAGCTCGGAAGTAACGAACTAGGGAACGAGTGGTGGGGAGGTTGCCGCCATATTTAAATCATACCGCGCGCGTGTGGTACATACTTATAGATATTAAAATTAAATTTATAAGTTCCTGAGCGATATTGTAAAGTTTAAATGTTATTTACGTTACTTAAGACTACGTAAAAAATGTTTCACAAATTTAAAATAGTTTTCATTTGTAATCTTAAGTACAGTAAATAACAGTTAAACTTAATAACATCGCTCAGAAACTTATCACTTTGTTATTAATTTGTGCAAACAATATTATTGGGAGGATTATAATATATATACGTTAATATTATATTATTAAAATATGTTACAATGCATAAAGATATTTATCAATGTATACATTTGCACATTTAATTACATTAAAATAGAACATAATTACATATTATTTTTATTAGTTTTTGTTGCACAAAAATTAAAATATAACAAAATACATATAACAGGTAAATATAATAAGTAAACTATTTGAAAAAAAGTAATAAAATAATAATATAATGTTGAATCGTGTTACATGTATTGCTAAATTATAAATTATATATATATATATAATGTAATTCACATATAAAAATGCTTTACATAACATTTTCCCGTCCCACTTTAAACAGACTACGGACTGTCGGATATAAACATATAAAATATCCGGTGTGGTTAAAAAATGTGATGCAAAGCACATAATTTATGCACAACCGCATCATAATTAATTATAATTCTAGGTTTTTCAGTATCGTCATTTATTTCACTCGGTAAATATAATGATGGAATAGTGTTACTTTTTAAAATTCGTCTTTGAGTATAATTATAAATACTATCATCTGAAAAATGAATAGTGCAAATTCTTAACTTATCTAATATTTCCCTTTGTACACCTGTAACACATAAAAAAGAGACTATATTTAAAACATATGCATTTATTTACATATATATATATATATATAAATGCACAAACATATATCAAATAAATTTCAAAATTAATAAAATATACCCGCGTAGCATTTAAGGTCATTATGTTACAAGCATTTATGTCACAATGAAGTCATATTAACATTATATTATGTGAATGTCCGCATTATTACAGACATGATGTCAGTGACATTACTATATGAGGTGAAATTCCCAGTTGAATAACAGTGATGTCACAGTGATATCATGCCTGTGATAATGCGAACATTCACACGTCATTATAATGTGACTTCATTGTGACATAATGATCTTGAATGCTACAGGGGTATATACGTAAGCATAGTCTGAAAAGTTCTCGACCTGACATATACATGGCATTAGAAACTGTCAAACTATAATTGTATTGGAAAATGGCATCTCTGATATAAACCCATGTAAAATTTTATTCGATTTGTCAAGTCATTCGAGTAGCAGCACCAGTTGAAAAAGCTTTGTGCAAGATAGATGCCGCATTTGCTAACAATTGACCAAAAACGCATTCGAATGCGTATTTCTCAAGCGTGTTTGGATCATTTTAAGCAAAATAAAATAGATATCAAGCGTTGTTTCATAACTGTTGATGAAACTTGGATCCACCACTAAACATCAGAGCGAAAAGAACCTCCCGGAATCACACCACTTTAATGATGGTATTGAATTATTGGAAAAAAAACGTTGGAATAAATGTATTGAAATTTCAGGAGATTATATTGAAAAAATAAAACATATTTCACGGCAAAAAAATTTCTTTCATTGTTAGGCCGAGAACTTTTCAGACTGCCCTTGTATATATATATATATATATATTGTATATATATATATAAAGAAAAGGAAAGCGCGAGAGAGAGAGAGAGAGAGAGAGAGAGAGAGAGAGAGAGAGAGAGAGAGAGAGAGAGAGAGAGAGAGAGAGAGGAAGAAAGAACAAAATAAATACGCATATAGAAATATATATATGTACACTTACCAATCAGGTCTGTTCTTTTTATTGCTGCAAGCCATATTTCTGTTCGTTGCACATCTTTTGGAAATTGGTACTTTGGAATATTTTTATTTGATGTGCAATTGGGCATACAACATTTATGCACCATGTTTCTATAAATGTAGCTAAAATTTTAATTGTATTATAACTATGACTATAACTAATAACTATAATAAATTATATAATAAATTGAAATCTAATATATATTATAATATCTAATATAATAAATAATATATAAACTAATAATATATAATATAATATCTAATATAATAAAGATATATAAAATATTGTAATAACTATATATATGTAATGCAATCACTATTATTCACTAATAATAATTAAACACTATAATAATTAAACACTATAAATCACTTAAACATTATCAATTAAACACTTAAACACTATAAATCACTTATACACTTAAACACTATAATTTACTATACAACTAAAAATGAAAAAAAAACACGTTATAATATATTACAGAATATTCACTACATAAACACTAATAGCACTGAAAAATTTGCGTTTAGCGTTAATTGCACTATGCTGTATTGAATTGTTTAACCATTAACGGTCAAGGTAAAACAAGTCAAAATCAACTTATGGGCAAGGGGAAGAGAGAGGAAAAGAGAGGGATCGATGTGCTGCCGCCTGGAGCACCGACCACTGAACTAAACTTCCGGAGCCAAAAAATACGGGGAGTTTAAACCCCCTGCAATTCAGATGACCAGAAAGTTGTGATACCTTGCCTTTCTGCAGGGGTGCGTTCGGATTCCCTACCCGAGTGTCCCCTGCCACCCAAAAGCCGTTCAGATTCTCTCCGGCTCTCCTCAAAGTTACTAGGAATAGCGTTCAGATTCCAAGTTGAGAGCTCTCGGAGAGACTCTATTGGAGCCGGGTGGTCGAGTGAGTAAGTTGAAAAAGCGCGAATTTTGCCAAATTCAAGTATCTTTGTATTTCTTAGTGCGTATATGTGAATGAGTCATATGTTTGTTTGATTTCGTATTACATTCGTATTTCATTTGAACAATTATATGATGGAGCTGAAAAACTTAAAATTATGTATCAACGAAAGCGGACACGTCATTTTACAAAACAATGGATTTGTCGCGTTTGATTGCAAAGGTAAAATCTAAATATATATTTCATGTATGTAATTCTTTTGAGGTTATGACAAAAACCGGCATCACTCCTCTTATCCTTGCTTTATATTTTTATAAAGTAATAATAATTTATTAGAAGAAATATACGTATATACGTAGAATTTAGACAGTAATTCTGTCTTTGCTCTTTTCATTACTAATTTGTAGTAAATAAGTTGCTTTTTACCAAATGCCAAAATAGTACTAGATTCATTGTTTCTTTTTTCAGCCGAATCATTAATACATCTTCCAAATGAGGAGAATGTTCGTAAATATTTCAACATAACACACATGTCGGATGTAGAAAAGGAACAATACATCAAAGAATATGACAAAGAGGAAAATAAAAATACTGCAGCTATTAGTTAGTATTGCATAATTGTTTATTCACTTTTATGATTTCTCTTATTTCTACAATATTTCCTTTTGTTTGTAGGTATCAAACAACAAGCTTCTTGGAAAGATGATAATGCTGTCACTTATTCATGAATGGAAGTTGCATGAAGAGAAATTTAAGAGTACTACTATTACAAATGACAAAGTATGGAATATGATCGCTGTCAAATTAATGAAGGAAAATCCTCTTTGGGAGTACACTGCAAAGCAGTGTGAAAATAAATTTAAAGATATTCGGAAGAATTATACAAAAACTAGACAACAATGTGAACAAAAGTGGACAAGATTTGCAAACATGTAAATTCTATGAAGAAATAGACGAAGTTTTTGGTGAAAAGCCTATTATTCAACCTGTAGCTATCGCTTCTACCCTAAAGAAGCACAAGCGTTCAACATTTCACAGTACGTCTGATTCATCTGAAGACGAGGAGAATGTGAAAAATTCTGGTCAGAAACCTAAGAAGAAAAGTAAAATTAGCATCGAGTTAAATAAATGGGTACTTTTACAACAAGAAGCAAATGTTGTACGAGAGCAAGCTAAAGAAAGGCGACATGAGGAAAAGATGCAGCGCCAAGATGAAGTAATTAAGATATATAACGATAATATGAAAAAGATATTACAGAAATTATGATGATTTTTTTATTTAATTCTCATTTTTATATTTTTTTTATTCTCATATTGTAGTAACTTAACATTACTGCGATATGCAAAATTAGATTATTAACGTTACTTTGTTTTGCATCACTCCACTTATGTTTATTTATTGAGATGTTGCTGAGATGTATAAGTTTATGCATGGAAATGTAAGACTGAATATTTTATTTCATTGTTAACACAAGCAAGTTTTATTTTAATTTAAAACATTAACATGTCAAATTTAAAATATTAACATGTTTATAATTATTTATATTACTTATATTATGTCAATTGAATGAAACAATAAAATTTAACATTTATTATAATTAATTTTATTTTTTCATAAATTAAATTCCATAAGTATAAAATTTCGTGAATACAAAATTTAACTGTGTACACTTAGGGAACACTCAGGAAAATTTTCTAATGATAAACAAATAATAGATTTAATCTCTAGTAAATATAAGATTGCACAATCACGTTTCACTTCTGCTACCTCATTGACTATACCATCATCATGCGGCTCTTCATCTATTTCTTCAGTTCCCTCCTCTATGAAGTCTTCCACATTGTCATCGATGCCCTCCAAGCAAATATTATGTAATACTGTACACGCAATGATTGTGTTAGGTATCTGGTCATCTTTGTTCATATCAAGATATTTAAGTCTTCGAAATCTGCCCTTCAATAGAGCAAATGCTCTTTCAATAACAAATCTTTTTGAACTGATCTCTTTATTAAATCTTTTCTGAGCCTGGAAAAAAACAAATGTAATTAAATATCTAACATCGCAGCAGTTATTGTCTATGTAGACAAAATATGTAAATTAGAAAACTTAAATTCTAGACTTACATTAGATAACTGACCATGGTCTATATACGGAGGAATGCACCAGGTCAACACTGGATAAGCTTTATCACCTATGATAAATTCATCTTCAGGAAAATAATTTCTTTCATTTGCCTGGATTTCTTTCCAAAGATCAGAATTTCGCAAGATCCTCAAATCACCAACTGAGCCAGGATAGCCAGCAAAGCAATCTGTGAAGTGTAAGCGAGCATCACAAACAGCTTGTAATGTAATTGCAAATGTCTTTTTGTAAGTTTTGTAATACTGGGCATCTATCTGGAACATATTACGAAGAAATAATTAATTCCTATATTCTCTTATATATCACTATCATGATTGCAGTTAACTATATATCATACCTTAGGTGCTTTAATTAAAATGTGCGTTCCGTCAATTGCACCGATAATTCCATGCAAAAGTGTATTTTTATTAAAATCTTCTTTTAATTGTTGCAGATATTGATCTTTTGGCCACTTGATAAACTGGCCTGCAATATTATTCAAAGCCTTGACAACTTTCATAAAACTATAGCTGAGAGAACTTTTTGCTATATCAAATCTATCACCAACAGAACTACATAAAATAAAAATCATGATATTTTCAATAAACACATCTCATAAACAAACTCTATTTTATTCATAATATACAACATACCGGTATGAGTCAGGAGTAGCTAATAACCATAACGTTGCGAGTAATTGCTTTGTAACCGGGATCACTGGCTTTCCATTTGTGGCTGATAATGTAGGTCCAAGTAGTGCTTTAAGCCTTTCAAAGGTGTTCAAAGGTGTTCGGAGTCATTCTACAATGATTTCTGAACTGGTTCTACCTAAGTCGAGGAATTATACGCTCGACATAACCTTCAAACCTAACTGGTTTACGTGAATTGCCACGAAGGACTATTTGCCTCCAAAGTTGTATATTATTTTCTTCATCACTGTCACTGCTATCTGTATCATTATCGAACATTATGATCGACCGAAGCAAATTATCTCCCAATGCAAGACCTGCTATAATTAATTGTCGTCGATGGGCTTCCATATTTGCTGCGTTTCGATATTTACTGTCAGCTTTTGTATTTTCGCGCTACATTCTAACTCACAGTGGCTGCGTTCCGATATTCACTGTCAGCACTGAAAATCTATAGTATACGTGACGTAAACTATGTATTTTCAGTACTAGCAATGAATATCGGAACGCAGCCTGTATCGTTCTGATGCCTCAGCCTCCTAAAGCACTCTGAGAAGCTCCGCCCATTCTCTTAGTCACTCACTCACCACCCGTTGGGTGAAGAATCCGAACGCAACCCAGGATGTGTAGTTATAAAAAAAATAACTAAAGCCAGCGGCACACGGTGCTTGCTTTTGTGCTGGATTACTTGCTGGATGAAAATACTGCGTTCTGATTGGTGCATTTCCATCCATCTTCGGAAATGCACCAATCAGAACGCAGTATTTTCATCCAGCAAGCAATCCAGCACGAAAACAAGCACCGTGTGCTGCTGGCTAGAGCTGGCTTGTGCAAGAGGCCTTAAGCCCCTTACACAATGCCAGACAACAGGCAATAAGAATAAAAGTAGACCAATCACAATAGATTATTCTTGTAATAGTCGATTGTGATTGGTCTATTTTTATTCTTATTGCCTGTTGCCTGGCATTGTGCAGAGGGCTTTAAACTTGATTTTGTGGAACTAGGCCTAACAGCTTATTGTAGAAGGCTTGTAGTTGATCAATTTCCTGGCGACCATGAGACTTGTGACTAATGTAGAATGAGCTTCACAAGTTTGATTTGAAACAGAAACGGTAGCGTCTCGTAGCGGAGATTTCGAAACTATACTTTTGGAAAATAGTGGGTCCGTTAGACCCGATAAATTTTTTATTAGCTCCAAAATTCTCCTCTACGAACCGTTATTGTTTCTGTCGAAAATCGAAGTAATCATCTTTTTTACATTCGTAAAATGTGAAATTAAATTAATTAATTCCATTATTATAACTGATTTGATCGGATTCTTTATTTTTGCTATTTAAACGATGACATCACGCAATTGCTCCACGGCTGTGTTCTGATATTGCTCATCATACGTATGTGTAAATCGAAGCACCGAGTGAAATCATCCTCCAGTTGTCATCAATTATTATTCGTTTGTTTAAAATAATACATTCCGGACGATATAGAATAGAAAAATAGATGAAAAAGACGCGGCGACAAGCGAGATTAGCGAATTTTCTATAATTATTAGCAAAAAAGTTATCAAAGTTTGGGTTTTGCGATACAAAGTATCAACTTTCTCCCAAAAGATTTCATGGGAGGGGGTTAGATAATTATCAGGAATAAAGGATAAATCCTGAGTATTATTGTAAAGAAGAAAGGTTATATCGAACGAGTTTGTTATAGTGATGAGATACATTAGATTAATTTCAACTGTACCGTCAATATTTTAAAAATGTAATAAAATATATTTGATACTAACAGAAAAAATCCTATTAATAGAAAGAAACAACGAGGAGCGAGGGAAAGAAAATCAGTAGATAAACAGATCAAGACCAATACAGAAGATGTTTTCCAGTGGGCCCAATTATACAAAACTTAAAACACATTTACGCCTGGCGATTAATCGATTGAAGCTGCTAGAAAAGAAGAAAACGGAGCTGGCGCAAAAGGCTCGACGCGAGATTGCAGACTTTATTGCTGCTGGCAAGGCAGAACGTGCTAAGATTCGAGTTGAGCATATCATCCGTGAGGACTATATGGTGGAAGCTATGGAATTGTTGGAAATGTATTGTGATTTGCTGCTAGCACGCTTTGGGCTCATTCAGCAGATGAAGTAGGTATTATTGTGGATTGTATATCTGTTGAATAGAATGCTCCTTATATAATTTGTAACCAAAGAGCTTATTTTTTTTTATTTATCTTAAATCTGTGTTAATTGCTTTTAGGAACCTTGATGATGGCTTAGCAGAAGCTATATCCACTATTCTATGGGCAGCACCACGCATCCAGACCGATGTGCAAGAGATTAAGATAATAGCAGATATCCTGACATCGAAATATGGCAGACAATATACAGAGGCATGCCGAGAGGAAGCGATACAAACCATATCTGAAAAGCTGAAGCACAAAATGAGTGTGCAGTCACCATCAAAGCTGCTTGTGGAAAAATATTTGATAGAGATTGCCAAGAATTACAATGTAGAATATGAACCAGATCCTCAAGTGATGGCGGAAGCCCAAGATGCACTGTTGATAGACATAGGGGCCAATGGAGGAGAATCAAGGAATAATTTGGATATGGCCAGTGGAGGTGGAATGCCACATCCACCTGGTTTCATTGGCTTTCCACAAGCGCCTCTTTTACCTGATCCTGGATTCAACCCAAGCTCGGTAATTTGCATTTTACTTCTTACTCATTTAAAAAACATATATATCAAAAAGATTTAGGTCACACAGTATGAATAGTATATAAGTTTGAATATATAATATCAATGTTCAAGGGTTCTGAAAAAGATGGTTTATCCATGGGATTTGTATCTCCATCATTGTATTCTCCATCATGTATGGAGAAGGATCAAAATACTTCATTCAATCCCACTGCATTCTCATATAACATACCTTTGGACAATGCCAACTCAAACAAACCTGTGAGTAAAGTATATGATAATTTCTCAACAATAGTATAGCCTAAATTAATATCTAGGAAAAAAAAACATTGTAACAAATATTATGAAAATACCATTTATCTACTCATATAATATTTTTGAAAAATTAATTAGGAAGACCTACCACCACCTTATAGACCTGATTTCCCACCTGATTTGAACATACAGGTGAGTTCAAATATCCTATGTTGTCTCAATTTTTATGAAACAATTACTATAGAATTAATAATATATCTGTTTAAGATAAAAATGCTGTTACGAAATTCTACGAACTCACTAATTATATACAATTCTTGTTTTATCCTACAGTCGGATGAGAAACCGAAACCTCAGCCGAGGTCCAAAATACCTATGAATAACTTTCAACTGCCGGATCTGCCAGCAGTACCAACGGAGAATGAAACGCCTACAAATCCACCCGAAAATGACGACATCGATTTCGATGATCTGATGAAGCGATTTGAAGATCTAAAGAAAAGAAAGTAACGTCTGATGGGGGCATGTGAGAAATTCGCGAAACACGTTATAAATTTTGCTTTATTGTCGCAGACGAGAACGATACTATATTTAGTAGTGCCTTCGGCCAATAAGGAGAATCTAGAATCTAAGACATTGTGATATGCTTGCTATGCTTGCATTTTCGGCGATAAAATATCTCGTGAAGCGATGAAGTGTTTTTTTTTTGTAGAACTATACTGCGAAACTACAAATTTCCAAGACGCGTAATTGATTAATCGCTTATGTAAATATGCATCGCCGAGAAACACAATAAATACATATAAATTGTTCATTTAATATTAATATATAATTTTATTTTTAAAGTTTCCTGATATTTGTGTATCTATAATCAAAAAATAAAAATAAGTGACGTAGTTATACTCTATCTGTGCAAAAGTGTTATAAATTGTTATAATATTAATGTTTATAGTGTTTATTATCTACCATTATGTAATCACTACATGCTCAAAAATTCATACATGATATTTTTTTCAGCTTGTATAGAATTCTTTTTTCCCATTTCCACAGAAATTATTAGTTAGGTTAGGTCGATCGATTATTATAACGCCTACGCCGTTAATTATTCCAATCTTCGCATCTCTGAAAAAGAAAAAAATTATGTTAATTATTTAATAAAATGTAATTACAGCATTTATATTTTAGAAAATAATAGAATTTTTTTTCTTGAATCTTCCAAGCTAGCTTTTATAGATTTATATGTGCCATCGTGATTATTCTTGTAAATATAAATACTCAGAAATTTCTCCGACCAAAAAAATTCGTATCACGCGAAGGTCTTTTGATTCAATTGCCTGCATTTTATATTTAAAAAAATTCTATTGATTAATAGATCTTTGTAAACCGTACTTCCTTTCCTTTGTCGGCTAAGCAAGACAAGAGATTTTGCGAAAAATAACACTTGTCCTGCCTCACGTCCACACTGAGAAAGTGAAAACATTCTATGACTGCTTCTTCCATAAAATCTTGCAGCTCCGGATTCTGTACGTTGTGTGTCATCAAATTGGTAACTAATTCCTGCTCGGGGAATCCTCTACGATCCACCTGTTAGAGTTAGAATTAAGAAGATCGACTGTAAGACAGTATCTTCAAGCACTGAAGCAATCTGTCCACACTTACCGCGTTCAGTTCATTAAAGAAACACTGCATGATACACTGCACACAATAAATTCATATGACACCATGTTAAATGTATAAAATAACAGTTAAGATACGTAATATACAATGTATATATTGAGAAAAATTATCTTTAAAATTTTTATTAAAATTCTCTACTAATGGTTTGTGCGCTTATTAAATGTTTCGAGAATAATATATACTTATATATTATATTTGTATTAATATATCTTACGGCCCGCTCTTGGTTCTTGTTGAAGTTCCCAAAGTTATTATTCATTTGATCGAAGGCTAAATTACTTCTGGCGCTTCCATCAGAATATCCAAAATCGCGATTATTATTGCTGTGATTAGGACGTTGCACGTTTCTCCAGTTTTCATTCGTCTGATTGAACGAATGACGCGAATCACTATTGCTTCTTTGTTCGTTCCCGTATTTCCTTAATTGTTATTGTCATTAATGATGTTATTGTCATTAATGATAAGTGTCATATTCATTATTATTATTATTAATAGTTGTCCTTCTCTTACCAAGATTGCGTATTGGAGTCACTGCCTTTCATGAAGAACTTGTTCAATATATCCGAGTCTTCATCATTATCTTCACTCGACGATGAATCACCATTGTTATTACCACTGTGTCGTTTTTTGCAGACCTGCACAACTTTACGAAATTGATCATCCGCTTGCTGGACACCTGTTTTGCATCTTAACGACTGCAAATATATTTGAAACATGTCGAATTACACATGGATCGTTACATTCTCATTACAATAGATTACATCTATCGCAATATGTTTATTATTTTTCAAATTACATACGTTTGCAGACTCGAGCAGTAGTAAGCAAATGCAACACAGAGCAACAGAAATCACCTTGGCCATCTCGCGTAGATTGATTTCTTCCGAATAACGTTCTTCATTTTTGCTCTCACTCGCTTATAAATCACCACACTAAAAATGCTCGCATCATGGGCGAGACAAGTTGACGGCTAAATAGTTGTTACAAAACAACGATATTGTTCCATGTCTCTGGACGGAGATACGCTCGACTACTTCGCTTATGTAATTCTTTTTAATTTATCAAGTTATATTACCGATTCTATTACCACCTATTCTCTTGTCATAGGTTTGCTGTTAAGAAATTGGAGTATCAAATTATCAAAAGAGACAAAGAAAAAGAGAGAGGGAGAGAGAAGAGAGGGAAAGAGAGAAAAAGAAGTCAATCACAGAGAAAGTGAGAGTTTTACGGAGACACAACACACGGGTGAACGTGCTTGAAAGTAACCAGTTCATCTAGAACTGTTCGTCGAGGAAGATATGATGTACATCAAGTGCTTTGTGAGTATTATTCGTTATTATCGCAAATATACTTCTTATCTTTATCGTGAGAAGTTCCCTCTCGATAAAGAATAATTCGGTCGTGGTGCATTTTTGATCCCGATGAGAATGATGCGATAGATAGAAATGTAGATCAAGAAGCAACGGACCGTGAAGATGAGAAAGTGATCGAATTCTATTTTATCCGACAAATTCCGTCGAGCGACTGTATGAGTGCAGAGTCGACATCTCGAATTCTTTGTGCTTTCCTTCTCCGCAGCTCCTCTTGAAACTCTCTTCTCTCGCAACCATGTTACCAATGCAGGATGATCGTAATGTGAACGAAAAAACCATATCGCCGCATTTCAACCGTACTTCGATACTTCATCCCACTTTAATTTCTAAAAAAGCAACGGAACAATTATCAGACGGAAGCAGAGTAGAATTTCAGCTAAGGAATCATCATGGACCAGGAACGTATATCTTCGGCTTCGATACCGGACACGGGTAAATACGGCTGTCGTCATTCTTCGCTGTGACGTTTCGATTATGTAATTCCTAGAAAGCGAAATGTCAATACAATTTTAAATCAATATTAGTAAATGCAAATTAATGCAAAAGTTATTACGCGTAATCAAGATATTTACTTGCTGACGATTTCAATCCAAACAATGACGATGTAATTATGCAATCGACGGACTTTACTATTGTAGAAAAAATCGGCAGTACAGAGTGGAGGAACGCCTAAAGGATGGAAGCGTCAAAGGGCGATATGGTTTTTATGATGCGAAGGGAAAGCTTAGAATTGTCAATTATGTCGCAGCGCCTAGCAGCGGTTATCAAGAGCGGCATCACGAAACTATCATTTCCAAGCCTGAAACCTAATATATTTTAAACATACACACATACGCTCTCTCTCTCTCTCTCTCTCTCTCTCTCTCTCTCTCTCTCTCTCTCTCTCTCTCTCTTTCTCTACTTCTTTTTCGTTGTATTAAGTGATAAATTTATACATATTGGATATTCTAGGATAATCAAAATGTCTAACGATTACTATAGACTTTGGGAATCATGTACAATTACATAATTCAAGGTTGGAAAAGAATACACGACAAGTGTATTAATACCTTGTACGAGTAAATGCTAACGCCATATTGGGATTAAACCGTTTATTTAACAATAACAATCGCTATATAAGAAAAAAATGCCAACGCAAAAAAACATGTAAATGTTATATAATAATACCAAGTATAGATATATGTGTATATGTAACTCTATATGTATGCATATACACATTTATGCGTATATACACGCATAAATTTATCATATAGAGTTACATACACGTTTAGTCTGTGTGTATATATATAATCTCTATAGAGATATATATATCTAGTCCACATACAGAACGTATTTCTTCGCCGAATAGATCACACAGAAATGTATAAATCAAATGTATACGTATCTGCTTCCCTCTGCAGTTTTTCCTCCCACTTCCACTCAAAATCACACAATTGCTGTTGTGGATTCTTCCTTTGACACATTTTTCACAAAAGTCATTTCTTATCAGCGATTGCTTTGGAATTATTTGTCCTTCTTCGTGTCGGCCGCACCGTACGACGAACCTTTACTTATTTCCGACATTCCGATGGTTTTGTACATTAGCAGATAAACTGTAATTCAATTTGTCTTCGTAAAAATGTGTTTGCAATTAAAGTGCAATGAGATACGTTACTTGAGAAATTTAACTAATTTCTAGCACTATAGAACGATTATTCTTCAACGATTAAAGGTGTGAACGACAAAGGTATAAACTAATGAAGTACTTGAAAATAATAATACATAACGTGTATGGAAAACTTACGTAACAATATGCGAATACGAAGAGACTACTCACATAGAAGAATAATTGCAACTCCGATGCTGAAGTAGACGGTCGAGCCAGATAAGAAGAGCTTTATAAGGTAATACAGCATTGGTACAAGGACTACTATCGCCCAGAATGTAGTGTTAATGAGGGAGTAGTACCTTCTCTTTAACGTGAACGAGTCTGTCCTAGGCACTCCGCTCGTGGCGAAGAAATCGCCGGTCTTATAAAAACTCTCCGCCATACGATCCTATTGAGCAAACAGTACTTCTAGCGCTATCGTTTAGCGTAAACTATCGTCTAGCAAAAGTCAACTCTTGCGCCTTGTTCGACTCGATTTAATCTCTCAAATAAACAAGGACACTGACTGTGACACTGATGAACTATCATTTGCATTAAAATATACAGTCGAACAATGCGCAAATAAAGCAGGATCAACGATTACAATACGAAAATTACGTACGAGTGACGAATGGCGAATTATTTAAAGCTTCTAATGCAAATAAGCGTCTACGTAAACTTAGAAGGCATGAATTGTATTGGGTAACCAAAAGAAAATTCTGCGAGATGTTTAATGTGAGCAACAAAATATTGATAAATTGTACAGAGTGTATATCTTTCGAAAGCGAAGCTTCGTACGAGAGAAAGATCCATTTCCTATTCTTGACTTTTCTTCACGTAAAAAATCGTCTTTTAAATTGTACATCAGTCACAAAACATTGTGTACACTTATTAAAATCGCATGCACTTTCTGATTACCCAAGACACATGTTTCATAGATTACCTTCTGCTGATATAGCTTATGCAGCCATTCAGCAGCAGCCTCGTCTCCCTCCGGTACTTCGTCAATGGTAATTCTTTTGGCATACATGTGGCCTTCCACTCGTTTCCCTAAGAGAAGATTCTTCATTGTCGGCTTCACTGGGTCTGATGGTTTAAACGCTATCTGAATGTCGTAGATGGCCGCCGCCTTGCCTCTTATATGATTTATACTGGCCGTGAAGCCTTTTGTGCGTGGCGTTAAGTGATATTTCAATACTGGCAGACCTTTTTCTATCGCGAACTTTTGACTGGCTTCCAGCTTCTTTGAAGTGAAACGTGTACCCTCAGGATAAAGCAGCAACTGTAACCGATTAGCATTTATTGTAATAGTTGTTGATAGTAAACATTGCTAAATGTTTTGGAATAACGATTCTGAAACCTATGGAAATATTTTATTATCACGGTCATAAGTGACGCTTAATTTATTTCTATGTAATATACTTTTATATAGAATATACAAAAAATGGTAGTTGTAAGAACTACAATGTTTTTTTTTCTTACTTATATATTCTATTTTCATATACATATAGAAAAATGAATAAAGAAAGATATTTGTTTATTGTACCCACTCACCCATATTGTATCAGGATATTCGACCAACTCTCTAATTTGGCCTTTGATGTTCTCCTTGTCTTTTTCCCAACTTCTCTCGAGGAAGATGCTCTCCGCGAATTTCCACGCCCATCCCAAAGTGGGAATATACTGTATCGACTTTTTAGCATATGCTTTGCAATTCTAAAGAACAGATATTTTGAAGTATAAGTATTTTGACAATACATTCCTTACCACAATCGCAAGTGCATAACTGAAGAAAGATTATTTTTCAAAAAATACTTACACCCAATAATCTCACGCGATCGCATAGCAACCAACCTATAAGCCAATCGGTCTCGTAGCTATGATTCATCAATAGATAGCCATGCTCGTTACCGTAATATTTATCGAAGTCCTTCTTATCTATATACAATATAACATCCGATCCTGCCCACCATTCTGCCATGAACACTAGCTCTGGCAAGGGAAACATTTTAAATACATTAATATATTTTATAAACACAACATAAGAATTTATATTAATAACAGTAGTAATAACATATTAATAACAGTATATATAGAAAGTAGTCAAACTTTTGGAGTTGATATTTTGATGGATTTAAAAAATAGGAAATTGCTTTTTGATAAATACTATTGCAGCTTAGATAAGCATTTGGATAAGCACTGATCATTTTCTTGATATATCTAAAATATACTAAAATTCCAATCAGATGGATTACAAGTACAATCATCAATTCCTCACTCTAAGAAGTAATAACAGTATTTGTATTTTATCTTTAACATGTAATCTTGCTAAATTCTATCTTGCAAAACAAGTGTTTTTATTTTGGAAAAAGTTTTTGAACCTATATTCAAACATTATTTTAAGATGAATAAAAGACACTCCTGAAGTTTGGTCTGCTGTTTCAGTTATGCTTTTTAATTATGTAATTTAAAAGGAGAGAACTTACGACAATAGAAGGAGTAACAAAGATAATAATTAATCTTGCGGTAGAGATACTTTGAAAATGGTCTCAGTCCAAAGTATAAAACACATTGGAAGAAATTTATTATCAAGCCAGATGTAAAAAATGTAATAGCAAACATAAGATGTATCAACGATGATTGCTTCACAGACGTGAGCACTGCCATGATGATAAGATATTTTACTACTATGCTATATATTTTATAGAAGACATAAATATTTGGCTTCTTTTCCTGTAACAAAAATATAAAGAAACAATTAATACAAGATAATATTGTTTATAGACATTGTTGACTTTTCATTCTTTACACAATTATTATTATTCTCTTAATTTATCACTTTCATTTTTATTTTATGAAACTGAGAACATATCAAAAATTAAAAAAGTTTCCAAGAAACAAAAAATCTATGAATATGATATTAAGCAGACATATAAGTAAATATATGTACGTACATGATGAATAAACACTTGTCTGAAGGCAAATGAATCATGTTGCTATATATAATCCTCTGATAGCTGCACCTTGTCATATTAATTGCAATTGAATTAAACCAAACAATTAAATAAGGCTCAATTGATTCTGAATTGACTGAATTGCAGTTAAATTCACTTGTCAGGTAGTAAATTATAATGTAATTAGATGTAATTAAATTGAATTCAAATATAATAAATTAAATATAAATTACTTGTTTGAGAATAATTTGTACATAATATATGACTGCTCAATAATAGTATAAATATAAGAAAATTAAATAATTGAATTCAAAAGGTCATTTTTTTTATATATTAAGACTTATAATTGAAACTGTCAATCTTTTGGAAGAAAGAAGAAATCTATTTAAACCTAAACATGAAACACTTTTTAACCATTGATGCTATTAACAAATATATTATTATATTATTTAAAACGTGATATTAAATTGGAAATATATGTTTTTTATGTCTCTCTAGTTCTTTGTAAACATCTCAATATTTATTTCAATGTAATTTTATTCTGACATTTGTAAAATTTGTATGGTACCAGAATATATATTTATTTATCTTGTCATTTTATGTTGTATCTGTATTTCTTTTTAAGCTGCATTCTTTTTAAGCTGCATTATTTTGATTTACAAATGATGTATAACTACCTAATTACAATAAATTATCAAGTTAAAAGAAAAAGATTAATCAAATCCAAGATACATATGTATAATTACCGTTCTTCGAGTTACAATTTTATTTTAAAAGATTCATTTAGTTTTTCTCATTCTTATATTCGTTATCTCAATTTATAGCTTGAACAACATTCCAACAAGGACATAGTATAAGCACTATATGACAAAGTATGATCATCCCAACTTACACTAATTTATTTTGTAGTGCTTCTGTGGTAAAGGTGCACTTGCTGGAGAATTAACTGAGGAAAGGATCGGTTGACGCGCAAATGCAGACTACAGCTCACCTAATTCAGCGAATCATTTTGTGGACGTGGGGAAGTGTGTTTCACGGCAAAAGTGCCGTGTGTGACAAGCCGGAGAAGTGGTAGCTGAGAGGTCAAAGTGCCAAATTCCAAAGTTCGGTAATGATGTGCGTGCGTGCGTGCGTGCGTGCGTGCCTCGTCACCGTCGCCGGTGCCGCTGTCACGGTCGCTGTTGATGTTTCTGCTACTGCTGATGCTGATGCTGATGCTTCGTGCGTTTCTCATCAGGGAAGTAAAGAAGCCTCCATGTCGTACGTGAACATAAGCGACAATGTGCAGCGAGCGAGTCGCTCGCGGATTAAAATATATAATGAGGATGTCAATGGGGTTACGAGATAGCGCCGCAGCGGTGAGTTAACGGGAACAGTCAATTAATGCCTTATTTGGCTGATATGCCTCTCAAGTCACTATGGCCGCTATATGTATATACAACGTGCGATGGTGTAAGATGAATGTTCGTGCGTTCGACGTTGTTTGTCTCTTTACAGTATGCATAGCACACTCAACGTCACGTATATCTCATGTTTGAATCGGTAGTACTCCTCGGCATGGGTGTATGTGTGTGTATCAACGAGACAATCTCCATCGCACGAACGATCTATCTTGAAGGAAGATGGCGCACGCGCGCGCGAAGACGATGAGGTACTCGTCCGCGCGTAAATTTCCTAGACAACACACACAGTCTAGGCAACTTTCAGACTCGACTCGTCACATGTAGGGTCGTGAAATGAGTCATAGACTGGTTGGCGACACCGTGCTACTCTTCGGACCGGAGAATTTAAAAAAACCCGTGCGGGGTTATCTAATGGCAGCGGGAGATCAGTTCTTCGCTGATCGCGTCGAAAAACAGTCGGTTGTGATCGGCTGCGCTCTCGCCCCGTGCTTTCGCGAGGAGGACAACAACCACGCTCGAGTGAGTAATGCGAGCGGTCGCGTCGAAAACGAAACTCGAATCCGATTCGGTCGGGCTCGTCGATCGATCGACGTTGTCTCACGTTGGATCGACTGGAAAAGTTCGTTTATTCTCTCACCGAACGTCTTTTCTTGACAATGCGAACGAAGGAAAAGCGAAACGCACGATTCTTTTTCTTTTGATTCTGTTTTTTCTATTATATATATATCGATCGGATACAGAACCGCGTCTTTATCGTCACATTTTTTCTTCGATCTTGCTGATGTGATCGTTTCGCTGTTTATGCATTTACGCAACTTTCACTGGTTTTTTGCTTGCGCACATTAAGCTACGCGATTCACGCAGCGCGTGTTTAGCATTTGTTTTTATCGCGGGCTTTGTTACCGTTCGGAGATTTCGCTCGCTACTTTCGACTGACTTGTAAAAACATTCTGATTTGAAATAATTTGAAGATGGCTTTAGATCGAAAACAGTACGTCGTTGCATTGCTTGGTGGATTTTTCTTTTGCCTTTTTTCATTTTGAATAATGCACAATTGATATTTATCGATTATCGAGACACGCTGTATCGAAAGTCGAAACGAAATTAGGCGCGACAATAGAATTGTGTTTATGGGCAGGCACCTATACGAAACCCATTCTTTTTCTGTTATATCACATTACATTCTTTGCATTTAAAATAAAATACTTCTAATGGATCATTCAATAACGCTTCGTTTATTCGTTAAGCAATGTATTTGCTGAGAAAAGAGGCAGCGGTCTTCTTAGAGTTCTATTTATAGTACAATGTAGTCTGTTATGAAGGGACATTTCCTGTCCAGATAAATGGACCGCACGCGTTACGTTTAAATCTTGATCTTTTCATACGTTTGTCCAAAGAAATTTCGAAAACTCAAAATATTGAATTCTTGTTTGGTATTTGGGGTTTAACAATTTTAAAAACTAAATCCAAGAGATTAAAAATTCCAGATTTAAATAGCTGATATCAAAATGATACAAACATCAAGGTAAAGTTGAATTGTCATGGTGCAATAAGAAAGCCGACTAATCTTGAGTTCTCTGTTTTCCTTCACATCTGTACTTATGTAAAAGAGCAAGACAAATCTGTTGCGTATTAAAACATACGGCTTAATGGCTATAATGGCTATAATGGCTATAACGAATGGCCACATGGCTCGTTGGAAGAATGTTCATCTGTATGCCTATAAATAGCTGCACACATTTCACCCTTTCATCACCTCCATATACCGAAGAAAGGTTCCGAGCTCCATTGCAGCCTCAGAGATCCTACTTTGTTACCAAAGGAAGACGTACTATACGAGGTTTTACATCGTTTTCGTTCAATTAATTAAATTCAATTGAAATTAGTCTTATAAAAGTAGTATATCAGCATCATCTCACACAAATAGAATATTTGATACAACAAGAAACGCCAATGTAAAATTTAATTAGAATTTTAATTAAGAGAATAATTTAAAAAAATTTATATTAAAATATTAATGGGTAATCCATTATCTCGTACAATTAATTAAATAAATTAGGACACTTTCATACACCATGGGAAACACGGAACATTTAACACAGTGATCATTGAACGGTTACTACTAACATACGAGAATAATTTATTGTGAATGATGACTTCTCCCTACAGTCTCCTTTTCTCTCTCTTTTTCTTCTCCTTCTCCTCTCTCTCTCTCTCTCTCTCTCTCTCTCTCTCTCTCTCTCTCTCTCTCTCTCTTTCACTCCGGGGTCATCGTGAGTGACCTGCGTGTTTCTTATCTCGATGGCAGTGTATTTAATTAGAAGTCCCGGAGAGAAAGACACTTTGCAGCTTATAGAAATAGCGAAGTCTTTGTTTATTACCTCTACGTTATGAATGTCCAGTCGTTCCTTTAATTCGCAGCAGATTATATCAGGATTCAAGTAGACAACAAACCAAGTTCTTCGATTAGCATCAAAGTAGCGACTGCGTCGAGCAAAACACGCGGGATATAGATCAACTCTTCCGTAGATCCAGAAAATGAGAGCAATGAGATCGCTCGTCCTCTTGACGCTTCTCTATTGTCTTTGCATCGACGTTAGCCATACTAGGGAAATCACGTAAGTAGTTCGTTCAATTCAAGCTTGTATTCATACAGTATAAGCTTGCATGTTCAATAATAAATTCTTCGAACATGCTTCTTTTCCTCCGAATGAAAGTCCGATTTTAATATTCCTGCTCTCTCGAGACAGTCAAGTCTGTATATTTCGTCCTGGAAATAACTGCATTGATATTTCCATAGCCATGAGGATATCAAAGATGCTATGTTGAGCCTAGTGCATATGATGCGGGAGAATACGGAGAAGCTGGAAAGGCACGAGGCGAGAGAGCGGCAGCTGGGTGAGCAACTAAAGAAGACAATAACCGTAATGGTAAAACGCGTGGCCGCAATAGACGGTATGAAGCTGCAACTAAACAAGTTGGATGAGAAAATTTCAGGAATAGAGCAGTTGATCGCACAGGTAATCGTCCAAAGCGACTTGATGCATAACGCGGCGGACTATCCCTTAACAAAGGCTTCCTAACGGTGCTTCTTCTTCGCACAGAGGGATGAAAGGGAGCGCATCCAGATGCAAAAGACAGCAGACAGTCTGGAGGATTTGGAGAGCCGTCTAGAAGCCTGGCTCACTGAAATCGAAAACAAAGTGGCGGAGGTGAGCTATCGACCTGAAACGACGACGCAGACGTCGAGCGATGAACTCGCCAACATTCTTGGCAAACTGAATAGTACCGAGAGCAAATTGATGAATGAGATGGCGAGGTTGAAGGAAGGTTTGCACGACAATACAGTGATGAGAGAGAGAGGCTCGGACGCGCTGATGGAAAAGACACGGAAAATCTTTTCGGAGGTAATCCAATGCATAACAAGGGCACAGAAATGAAAATCTTCCTAACACAAATACAAGAGATTAGGAAAAGACAATATGAATTTGTCGAGCAGGTTCAGGACGTAGCCGCTAAAATCGGGGACATTGAGATCTCTCTGGAGAGAATAAAGCAGATGACACAAATTATCCAAGAGAAACCGGCGCAACAACTAGACTCGAATCCGGTGGTCGACGAACACTTTAGAACTTTGGTGCGAGTACAAGAACTGTTGGAGGACACTTCCTACAAGATACAAGAGTTACCTAGGTAATATTGGAAATGGATTTTTCGACGTTAAACAAAAAAAAATATGAGAAAGAGAGAAATGTCCGAAAATAATCACAAGCTGATATATAGGATAAATGATGTGCAAACGTTGCACAACGAGACACAGACCATGCTGCAAGAGACGAAGCACGCGTTGAAGGACATCGTTACACGAGGCATAGATCACATCACGGACGGAGTCATGGAAGCCAAGGAAGAGACAAAGGACACTGTGACGGCATTGCGGTAAATTCCACTTGTCATTTCCAACATCTCGACAAAACTATCCTTTCATATTAACATAAAAAAGACGCTTCTGTTCCGTTAACAAAATAGATACTATATAGGGATATTCCACATTTAATATTGAATATGCAACTAACATATAAGTCTAAATTATCACGTTGTCTCACATAAAATCGTCAATGTTGTTTCACATTAAAGGATGGATCTGGCTAACAACGCGGAGCGCGTTAATCACGACCTGCAGGATCTGAGCAAAGGTCAGTCTGTGATAGTCTCTATGGCTGATCATGTGTTGGATACGAAGAAAAGGGTGGAGTACGGCGTACATCAGATCCTGTTAGAAGTAGGCGACTTGGTGAAGACTCAAAGCAACCATATTAACAGCACTCTCAACCAGAGATTCGACGGAATCTCAAGTGATATCATGGATAATCAAAATGGCGCATTGGCGAATCTCACCAGTAAGATGGAGCAGGAAATGAACAAGGTGAACGACCTATTTCTCGATAACTGGATTGAGATGAAACACTTCCTAGAGAGACACTTGTCCGTTTCTTTTCTTGTTGTAGGTCTGGCGGCAGATCAATGTAATGTATCAACAAATGACGGAGAGCGCTCGAGCTTTGGACAAGCTACATCAGCAGAACGAAAAGTATGTCAATGGTACCACGTCCACAATGGGTGGAATGGAGAGTAAGGTAATTAACTTTCTACCTACAATACCGCTTTATCAGATTTTCATCTGATCTTTAGGAAGAAATTGAACATCCGAAACTTCACAGGTCGGCGAGATAACGAAACGTATGAGGGAGGTAGATGATAATTTGAATTACCTGCTCGGTCGGTTGTCTTTGGTGACGCAGGAATTCAATCAGATCAAGACGGGTTTGGGAGCCGCTCTGGATAATATCAAAGCCTCCTTCAAGATAGTGCAACAGAAGGCGTTAGATCTGAGCCACCCTGGTCCACATCCTCTTCCAGAAAATTACAACGCTGACTTAAACGAGTCCGAGACCAGGAAGCCAGATGGTAAGACTTCGTCGGACTTTCTGAATCATCTGAGCAATGTGCATTCCAATTGATGCTCAGACTTCTAAAATCTTCCAATTAACTGCGTTTTTTTATGGATGACGATACAAACTTTTGTAAACTTGTATGAAAACTCTCTGATATATATATATATATATAAACTGATTTTATGATCCTTTACAGTCAATAGATCAACAATATTCTTTTCTTCCAATGATACTTCGTTACTTTATCCTGTTCTTCTCATGGAATAAACCGTTTGTTCTAGTTGTGACTGTAAAGTAAACCATGTCTGAATCTCAAGTTGAACGGCTGCTGGCTTGAATTAATCTCAGTAAGCGGTAAAGGTAGCCATCTCTTCGTTCTTAGCAAATTAATATTCAGCAACATCATCATCACCACGATTATCCTCATCTTTCTCGTCATCATTATAATCATCATCATCATCATCATCAGGGATCGCAATATGCCACATGATGAATTTTTTTTAAATATATACCTAGGTTCCGAATCGTTTAAATTTTCTCTTGTCCTCTGTCTCAATTCAAGAATTTCCTATGAAAAAAATCAACAAGCCAGTTATACAACGAACTAATAATCGTTACAGTATAATATGTTATATCTATAAGAATACAATCAGTAGATTGTGGATGTTCATGCGTGTCTTTATAGAAAATACATAAGGAACTTACTTTCCTGCTAAATATCCGCAGTTGGCTAATTAGTATTAGATAACAGAATCTTATTAATTCTCAATAGTTTACTTCGATATCTTTACGCACAGGTGAGGAGGCAGGATACTATGCTCCCAGGTTATCGTAGGTTTTAGTTGAATGTTATATTTCTATTGCCACTAGCTATAACGAAATAAATAAAATAGCTACAAAAAGAACAAAAGGTTCATTTAAAGTATGCGAGAGAAAGTAAAGAGAGTACTTTGTCACGAAAAATGTACTAAAATACCTATTAATCTCGTCGTACTCGTAAAAATATCATTTAATATACAGTTTGTATCAATTGCGAGTGGATCCACACGAGTTTCTCGTAATTGATATGTATCATAATTGTAGAATCGCGTTATGCCTGCAGACGTTTACGCGTTTATCTTTCAATTCTTGCTTATATATAAATCTTATATTTTATCGTATACTATATAGGATATTCACAACTGGTAACATGTACAAGATCAATGCGCCGTTCGTGTCGTAACAGTTCTTTATTTCTAAACGGTAGAAAATATTTTTACTTACGCAAGAGTGCAAAGAGGGATTGACGGAGCCTGCATGCGTTGCAATAATTAGATCCGCGTTCGCTGCGCAAGCAGAAGCCTACGCCTGGAAAAATGAATTTTTCTTCTCTCTCGCTGATAATTCAATTTTGGCATAATACAACAAGTGATTGTGATCTTTATAGCTTTATACAACGCATCGAAAGGAGCTCGAGTTCCAAGAACCCAAACTTTTAAAGACTCGAAGTCCTGAGATTTACAAAGATTCATAAAGATATTCGTCGAAAAGACTTCGTGGAACTAAAGTTTCAATGTTTCTAAATGCTGGAATTCTTTAAAGATTGCAATGGTCAATGCAAAGTAAAAACTACTTGCAAGAACTTAAAATTTCGCAAACCAAAGATTCAGAAAATGAATATAACGAAAATTTAAATTGCCAAAATTCGCGAGTATGGCGAAAAAATTAATTTAAGGAAATAATTATACCGGATGAAATTTAAACCGTAAATTTTTTCCCTGTCTCTTTTAGATTTTAAAATATCGAAAAGAACTAAAATTAACGACGAATCATAACGAATCCGAGCAAAGGGGATCCGTGAGTTCGTGGAACCGTTAAATTCTGGATACTCCCTAGATTTCGCGCTGAATATATATATATATACATACATATATGCTATATATATATATATATATAGATATAGCACAGCATATATGTATGTATATATAATTATATATTATTACATATAACGTATCTCCCTTAATTTCTCTCTCGAGAACGTAACCTCTCGAGTTCGGCAAAACGTTATTGTTATTATTTACAATATGCGTGTGTACAGATTAAAACGCTATCCTCTCGCCTTAAACCACGAACTTGGTACACTGGCTATTGAACCTATGTAAATCACGCGCTCGTGAGGATACGCGCAAGGACGAGGGGGCCGTGGAGAGGATCGAAGATCGCCTTTGTGCATATGTGTGTGAACCTTCTCCTCGTCTCCCCTTTGTCGCTCCTCTCTGTTTTTTGCGTATGTTCGTAAGGGCGATCTCGTATGTACGGCAATCTCTCGATGGTGTACCATTACATTACATTACATTATATTATACTTTGAGCTCCGATAATGTTTTTTTTTCATTTTTTTGTTTAAGCTATGTGAACTGTATAGATAGAGACGTACTTTACATTAAAGCATAGGTCCATTTAATCACATAATGGACGACGACGCGTTCTTCTTGCACGCCTATATACGTTAAAGATTAACAACTAAACAACGACAACGCCTGTTCTGCCTGCCTGTACATCTCAACGACGCGCTGCGGCAAGCTTGCAGTAAGCTTCAATTTAATAACATCGTGTGAGTAAGTAGCTCTCTGTCGATTCGTCACAAAGATCATCTTGGCTCAGTTTTTTTCTCCTCATGACTTTTGCAGGAACGATAAGGAAAACACAGACAGGAAAACACTGTTCAAATATTAGAAAATCCGAGAATTATAATGCCGTTCCAAAAAAAAAAAAACCAGAATAATTAAAATATTTCAGGAGCAACTGCTTTAAATTGCATGTTAAAACATTAAAACATGTCTCAAAGCGAAAATCACTCTATGATTTGAAAATTTCACTTTTGGAAATAATTACTTTTGTTATTTCAACGTTATTCTGGCTTCTTTTCATTTGCGCACTTTAGAAAGTATTTCATATGTTCCTTTTTTGAGAGGATATTTTCACCAAATTTTACAAGAATCGGAGAGTCGATATATTCTTTTTAAAATCACACGAGAATTACAAGAATCTTTTCCACGTTTCTAAAAGGTCAAGAGCCAAAGATTGAATGGCTTTTCATGAAACCGACCGTTGTCTTCGTGACGACCCAACGTTACAATTCACCGCAGTGCTGGATCTTTTAAAACGACGCCTTATACTCTTGACACCCGGAACAAGTGGTCTCTTTAGCAGATCAGTCACACCAACAGCCACAACTAATTGATTTCGATTCAGTTATATTTGTTCGTTCAAAATTGAAAAAAATTAGTGCAATATCGACGGCATAATACACATTCTTAAAAAATCGATTCAGTTAGATAAAATATTATGTTAAATTTCAATTTCTTTTCATATTTTAGAATTTTCAGGCAATTTAGAATTTTCTTAGCAGATCAAACAAAGAAAAAATTCGTTTGAAGTCGGCACTATCAGCCTTTAATATTGTGTGTGAATATTGCTCTTTTATATAAATTATATTAATTTTCTGAATCTGATCTAACTTTCTACAAGTCAATATATATAAAGTTAATATATATAAGTAAATAATGCAGTTTCAATTTTAACTACGTAGATAACCGAATGAAATAACTACACAAGTAACTTACACTTGCTCTATAAAACTATAATAAATATTAGTATAAAGAAAAGTAAAAGAAAACCTAAATATGTAGTTTGTAAGTTTTGATATTAAAAAATAAAGATATGTTAGAATGTCTTTTTGACTTGAGAGAAAAAAGTATAAAATATATATGTATAGTATACATATATATAACAAATGTATAACCACAAATATTATAAATATACAAATATACAAATTATCGAGAATGAGCAAAACGGGGGATGTTGATGCAACCGACACTCAAAGTATCCAGTAATGTTATCTTAATTATTACGCGTTATTACCCACGTAGAATGCAACCGCGTTACGTGTCCGGTGATGTAACATACATTGTAACTCTAGCGGAGACGCGCACAGCAGTAGAGAATCATCGCCAAACTTTCCCTATTTATGAATATGTACACCCCCAATGTGATGGAAACGTCATTGTTCGTACGAGCAATTAGTTTTAGCTCCTAATCGTTTAAAGCGACGAGTCAGAAAGTTCGCAACGCGTATCTCACGCTCTCTCTCTCACTCCTCTTACCCTCTTTTTTTCTTTTAATTCTCTTACTTTCTTCTTTTAATTCTCTTAATTTTTCCTTTTCGTTTCTAGTGTTTTGTAATAGCTCAAAGATAGCCGAGTGTAAAAAAGGATGCGAGTTCTCGCACGGCTGCTCGTGTCCATCAACTTCATTTATACAAAAGGATCTCCTAAATAAAGCTACGTAAATTCGGAGTATTGGACGAGTTATCGGAATGCATAGATTCGTTCTTCTTTTTTCTCTCCAATTGCTTTCCACAGAATGTGCCTTTCCCGCTTTTCGCTTTCTTCTCTCTTCAAGAGCAAGGCGAAAGAGCGCTGGATACTCGCATTTAATTCGTTTTATTTACGTGCGACGCGTAAGATACGCATGTTCGCCGTGGCAGTTTTTTTCCGTTTCTCCTTTCCTCTATCTCCTATATCTTCGCTTTATTATATTATTATTATTATTATTCGTGTGATATACCAGATGTCCCACCTGATCAACGTGAGCCAGAAAACCGGAAATGAAGGAACGAGTGGGGCATTCTGAGTTGTTGCAAAGGTTCCGGCTTCCGTGGATAACATCCCCCGAGTTTTTGAGACTTTTCACTTTTCTTTCTGCATTCGAGGAAATGCCTGAGATATCTTAGCTCCTGGATCCTCGGGTATTAAATTCAGACGTCTAACGATCCGTCAACACGATCACCTAAGCGGTTTTTAGCGGTATTTCGTTAAAATCTGAATTAATCCGTATTACAAGAACAAGACAACATGTGACTCCTCGAGATCCTTCGAGTTTCTGGCTCTACGGAGAACTTGTGCAACAACCTCAACGGCTCGTCAGTCACTCGAACAAGGAACATCCTTGCGGAATGACATCAGAGACATGAACGAAATCCAGGTAACACACGCGCACACGCACAGAATTTGTGAACGTGCGCTCTGGTGTGTCCACTTGCTCATCGAGGTTTATGCTTGATTACTGCTGTTTCTCTCCGAGCAATAGTTGGATCCGCGAGATATCCGGCTCATTCTTCCTCAATGGATTGTACTCTTAGAAGTTGACTAGGGCTTGAAGCGGCTGCTAGCTCGAGTCGCTCGAGGTGGACGCGCGCGGCTGACGTTTGCCACGCCTTCGGGGGTGCGAGTGGTCCTAGCTGCTAGTAGAGGCGATGGGGCTGACCGGGCTGAGAGGGCTGCGCGCAGAGTCCCTTAAGACGCCGGTCAGCGTCACCACCAATTTGCGGCTACCAGCGTGGTTCCGGTGTTCACAAAACCAAATACCCTGCCATGTGCCCAGCGCCAGTTTACCATCCGTAATTGGGATACTTAACGAGGAGCCGAGAAAGCAGGCCTTTACATGTGCTGGCTGTGAAACACCCAGCAAATAGTCAATAACATATTTCATTAATCTTTCAAATTATACCATCTGCTCACAAATATTAGAATCACAAAATTCCTTTTAAAATTTCGTTAGTTAATTAAACAGAATTCCATTATTTTTACCATAATAAATTTTCCTCTTATATGCATATGAAAGCAGATCTTGAAAGTTTAATTTCTTGATATAAACTCTACTAAATAGCAAATAAATAGAGATAAAATAGCAAATAATAAGTAATATAATAAGTAATAATAATTAAATATTTTCGGCTTACCATATCATCAGGCCCTTCACAGCTATGCCTATACTCCAATCCCTCAGGAACTATTTTGTTAAGCATCATCTCCATATCATCTCTCACATCAGGATCCCAACTCTCATTTAATGCTAAACTAGCCGAGGTATGGAGAACTATATAGGAAAATATTAATTTAATGTTTTTATGATAAATCTCTCTTATATGTAATCTTTGTATATATCCTTTTTAACCTAATTCTTTATCATTACAATGCATCAATAAACAGGATATTGAAAAAAAAACCAACAAGATATGGAACCTAAAATGCATAATTGATCGACTGCATTAGACATGAATTGCATCTTGCGCTCTTTCTACCACTTCTTCATAAACATTATCTGAGTAATCTGATCAACTTTCACTCATAAAAAGAAGAATAAAAGAACACTGCAGATATATTGTATCCACAAGTCAGTTAGTTATTAATGGTAGGTTATCAAATGACAGCTTTACTCACTCTGAATATGGCAGAGGCCAATGGAAAATTGGCAGAGCTCAGGGACCTGCCTGAGGATCTCCTCGGTGACGAGATGAACACCTCGATGCTGCGGCCTGAGATTGATCTTGGTCTGAAACCAGCCGGAGCCGATCTGGATACCGCGGTTGGAGGAGGCCATGTCTGCGTGGGGATGAACTGTGCAAGGCAAACGGGCGAGGGGGTGGCGCGGAAGAGAGGATACGAACAACTCCTGGCTGGTCTTTGGTACGTGGTAGAACAGCGCGACGGGCTATTCCAGGTGGCCGACGAGAGGCTCCATTCGGCGACGGTTACAAGTAGTCCATCGTGCACGCCGCAAACTGATCTGCCGAGCGCTCAAATCGCGAAAGAAGGTTAGGTGAGAGAGACAGACAAATGCAGTAGGAGAGAGAGGGAGAGAGAAGCAAAGAGCGAGAGAGAGAAAGAGAAAATGAGAGAAGGGATAACGATTCGGCCGTTTGGCGCGGTGCGGCGCGCGCGACACACAGCGGAACACGCAGGGAACGCACATACGTGCGTACGTACGCACGCCCGTATGGACACACGCACGTACGAACGCATGACGCACACAGATGTACACGCCGCAGGTACGCTCGCGCACCTCATCGCTGATACACCACTTACCTATACGCTGCGATCAACGGCGGACATTATAGCGGATGGCGGACTCGGAATGGAGCATCGCGAGATCGCGAGGACGATAGGCTTGAGAGGGGCGGACGGCGTGGGACGGCGACCGCGTGTGCCGTACCTGCCGTGCGCTAGCCCTTGGCGAGCGATTGCAAATGGCGGCGGCGTGCACGACACCGCGTCCGCAATGACGACGCAACGCGCACGCGCGTGCGCCAGCGCACAATATTAGCTCAAGGGCGCGACTTATGAAGGATTTACATCGCGATCTCCGATGTTTCCGCGCGACACTGAACATCCAATGGGAGAATCCGTTACCTAGAGAAATATTTCCTATGGAGAAACTCGCTGGCTAGAGTCTCTAGAAAACATATTTTCGTATTGGTTATTAAAACTTTGTGTACTAGAGAAAGCCAAATAGAGAAGGATAATAAACAGGCGTAAACATACGTTGAAAGCTTTGCGCAATTTCTGCCAAAAGTTTTGCTCGTGACGGGTCTTTTTATGGTTTATAAAATGTACTTCTTTATTGGACTTTACTGAGAGTCCTAATATTGCTGAAGTTCAGTGTTTTAATGTATGTTAATATTTTATGGTGATGAATAATAGACTTGTTCATCCAGTTGCACTTTCAGCACTTTCTTCATTTGGAATGATACGAATGTTTGTGGAGTGTCAAAAATAAGAGTAGACAGCGCAGCCCATACGTCATTGTCGTCGTCTATTGTCATCGTTCTATTGGAACTCATGTCGGTTGACAGATAGCGTTTCCTACTTGTAAAATATTTACGCCTGACAAATAACATATAATTGTAAATATCATATAATATAGTTCTGCTGTGTTTATATTATTTGTTACTTGTCATCGATAATCAACAACATTGTACGTGATTTCTTATCTTTTGAGGTTAAGTTTGGTCTCTTGTCACCACGGGCGCGGAACAGTCAGCCATGTCCATCTCTCAGATGGAAAGTATCCTTTAAATATTTAATTGTTTATTAACATTCTTCTTAAACTTGCATTATCTGTGTAAAATCACGTTTCAAGAAAAATATGTCGAAGTATTTTAAACTGTATGTATTATTATATTCAAATCAATTTTTTGAAGTGTACTCTTGTGTAACTTGCACAAAATATTACAGTTTTTGGTTTAAAGAATTTTTAATTGCCACAGTGCTAATAAAAGAATTATTTTCCTCAACAATGGAACATAGAAAACTTATTCAACCTGAAGTTTGCAGTGAAGGAGTTGGAGAGAAATTCGAAAAAATGCGAGAAAGAGGAAAAAATAGAAAAAGCCAAGATCAAGAAGGCGATACAGAAGGGTAACATGGAGGGTGCTCGGATCCATGCAGAGAATGCAATTCGGCAAAAGAACCAAGCCTTGAATTATCTCAGAATGAGTGCCAGAGTGGATGCAGTAGCCAGTAGAGTACAGACTGCACTGACAACTCGTAAGGTGACACAATCCATGGCTGGTGTTGTTAAAGCTATGGATGCAGCTATGAAATCAATGAATTTGGAAAAAATCTCAGGACTCATGGACAAATTTGAAAGTCAATTTGAAGATCTAGATGTACAGAGTTCATACATGGAAAATGCCATGTCACAAACAACAACTACGAATGTACCTCAGAATGATGTAGATACTTTGATGCAGCAAGTTGCAGATGAAGCAGGGTAAGAATGTTAATTTATTTTTTCTTGACATTTGAAATTATTTTCCATTGTTACATGCTACATGCTATATGTTACATGATACATGCTGTTATTAGTAATTTTTTATTCAGTAACTTTAATGATTTTATTTGTTCATAGTTTGGAACTAAATATGGAACTACCATCTGGTCAGCTGAGCAGTATTGGTACTTCCACAGCAGTCAGCCAGGAGCAAGATGAGCTGACGCAGAGATTGGCACGACTCAGGGAGTAATGACAGTTTACTTTAATATGTTCGTTAATATATTTGTCAATATATATTTTGCAATTCAGATGGTTTACAAAATATATAATATAATTTCTAATTGCTATAACACCACACATTATAGTCTGTGGTTTGTAAGCTGGATGCTGGACTTTAGGTACATGAAAAAGATATAAAAAGTCCTTAAATTTATAGTGATTTAGTGCATTACATACTAGGCTTTAATAAATATTAAGAGACACTAAAGAATAATTTCAATTTTTACATTGAACATCTTTGGAACAAAAATATTTTAAGATTATTGGTTTTCCTCATGTTGCACTTCAAAATTTTCATTGGTTCAAGTTTTGATAGGGCCATTAGTAGCACAGTATTCTTATAAAAACAAATTTATACAATCAATTTGCTAAGTGGCTACTAACTAGTTATAATTTAAATATAAATAAAGTTATAATTTAAATTTAACAGATTTTTTTATATTTACCAATTTTAAATAAAAGTAGGAAATTGATTGAGGAAGTTAATCTTAAGTCAATTTTATTGACTGACTTAAAAATTTTGCAATATATTATTTTTCCTACTTAGAACTCATTAACTTTTCGCAAATTTTGTATTAAAATGTAATTTAATCATGAGATACTAACTCATGAAACACTTTTGCTATAACTTTATCATTTTGTAATTAACTTGCTGCATTTTATATTAATGTAATAACAAAGTACTCATTTTGCTTACATGTCAGTTGTACATTTACATATAAATTAATAAATATTGGACATGCGCTTTTCGAATACGTGGAATATATCGCTTAACGTTTCTTAGAATATAATTTCTTAGAACATAAATAAGATAACAGACAAATGACTGACAAGTTCTTTTTTAACAATGACGTATCTCTCGTGAGATGAAAATTACGAAACCATAATTAGAACCATAAACTAAATGAATAATAGACGTGCAATCTAGTGAAATGATTATTTTGTCATAAAATATCTCTAGACAGGAGTTACCGATCTAAAAATAGAACCATAAATAAAATGGAACATAGACAAGCGATCTGTAGCGAAGTTTCTTAGTCATGAAAAATATATTTTTGTAGATGATTTTCGCTGCTCTTATCATGAAAATATAAAAATAAAAAATATAAAAAAATATAAAACTGAAAATAAAAAAATTTACCTATGGCTGACAGTCTTTAATATTATCTTGTCAGTGGCGCAGCTAAAGCAGTCGGTATTATCATCGTTTTTCAATTACCTCCGGGCCCCTTGGCTGATATGTTGGAACATCTTTTCTGCCAAGTTCCGAATAACCAAGATCCTCATAAATTGCAACAACATGCGCCTATACATTATGGAGAATTTGAAGCCGATAGGTCAAAATCGAAAATGACGAGTCACCAGGTATAAGCTGCAAAATTATTTGCGATAAGATATTAATCTAGGTTTAAAATAAAGATGATCCGAGCCAACCGTGTCGAAATGCGATTACGCGTTTCGAAGTTACAGGCCATAAAAAATGGAAAAGTGACAGGCTCGGAAATAATCTGTCACGAAATATTAATCATCGAAATATGGGTGATAAGGTTTTAATCTAAATCCAAAATAACTATGATCCTTGTAAATCGCATCGAGTTGCGATTACGCGTTTCGGAGTTAGAGGCCACGAAATATTGAAAAGTGACAGGTTCGGAAATGACAGGTTACGAAATATTAATTAACGAAATATGAGTGATAAAGTTTTAATCTAGGTTTAAAATAACTAAGATTTTCACAAATTGCAACAACGTGCGCCTACACGTTATGGAGAATTTGAAACCGATATGTCTAGATTGATCGATGCGAAAATAATGGGTTACCAAGTATAAATTAATAAATCGTGTGCAATAAGAAGCTAATCTAAATTGGAAATGACGGCTTTCCTACCTACTAAGATACTTGGCTTTAAAGCCAGCGGCACACGGTGCTTGTTTTCGTGCTGGACCGCTTGCTGGATGAAAATACTGCGTTCTGATTGGAACATTTCCATCCATCTTCGGAAATGTACCAATCAGAACGCCGTATTTTCACTCAGCAATCAATCCAGCACGAAAACAAGCACCGTGTGCTGCTGGCTTTATGCCTCGTCTACAATAGAAGTCGTAGAATTTGACCAATCATAGTCCGGTAAGAGAAAAATAATCGACCGCGATTGGTCAATTTGTACGACTTACAACTCTATGACTTCGGCCTGGTCTACAATATGTGTTGTAAGCTGTGAGCCGTAAGAACTGACCAATTATAGCCGATTATTTTTGTAATAATCGACTGTGATTCGCCAATTCTTATGGCTTACAACTTACGACACGTATTGTAGACCAGGCCTTCTATAGACGAGGTATTAGTGTGAAGTCTATTATAAGTTTATGAACACAGGAAACGCGCCTGATGATGTTTGAATTGATTACTCAAAAAACAAGAAAGATAGAAGCACGAAAATGAACGAGAATATATTACGGAGGATAAAAGGCAAATTGAATGCAAGATTTTATGTGATGAATGACTCATGGCTAAAAGATTGCGTTGAATTTTTTATCGAAGGTAAAGCTCTTCATGAAGTAAGTCGCAAATAATATCTACCTTATTATTATTGTTGATAATTAAAATTAAAACATTAACATGTATCTTTAAGCCAACAATAGATATAGGAATACAAAGTAATTATTATATGCTATGTTTTCCAAATATTAATACGAGTTACTGTATAATTTATAAGAAATCATAAATGTGCTAATAACCTATTGTAAATTGTAAATGAAATTGCTGTTCTTTACACAGTTATAAATTAATAATGTCAGTTGTAATATATCATTTATCATTTTAGAGGACAGATAAACACATTTTGGAATTTGTGGAGAGCCAGTGGCAATTGAGTGACTTGAGGGAGATAAATAATGAAAATGGATGTCTTCCAAAGAATCTGGTGCAACAGGTCTGTACTGTGTTGACTGGCACTTACATTCTCCAGGTGAGCTTCAAGAAATATTTAGATATTTTACATTCCTGACTTCAGGGATTCAAATATTGTGCACATCATGATCCGGTATGAACATAGGTGGACAAGATGTATGACATAACGAGTTCCAAGTATAAGCAGTTATGCCATATTCGGAAAGTTAGTAGCAGTAATTTAGAAGTAACAGAGAATGAGAAACCAGTTGAGTGGGAACCAAAACCCAGAAGAATGATGCAATGGTGCCTTACAGATGGGGTACAAGATGTTACTGCAATAGAATATACTCCACTCGAACAAATGACAGTAAGATTTTTTTATTGTATTGGGTGAGTGCAAAAGTTCGTGCGGAGTTTCAATAGATGAAGTTATAAGCATCGTAAAGTGTTGTCATTAATACTTCCATCTACATATTATATAACGTTGGAAAGGTGACGTCTTCAGCTGTTATTAAAAAAAAATCATTTGTTTTCATACAAACTGCTTCGAGAAATATCACTTTAAAAATGAGTATCGATAAGGTGCATTTACGGCATGTTATGCTTTACGAGTTTCGGAAGGGAATAAACGTTGCCGCAGCCGTAAAAAACATTCAGGATGTTTATCAGGATGAAGCACCAGCTAAACGAACTGTGGAAAAATGGTTTGCTAAATTTCGGCGCGGAGAATTTAACCTTGAAGACGAGCCACGCTCTGGTCGACCTTCTGACATTGATGACGATGTTTTGCGTACTTTAGTGCTCAATAATCCGCGAATTTCAACAGAAGAAGTTGCTACAGCACTAAACGTTGACCGATCAACCGCTTTTCGGCGTTTAAAAAAGATGGGATTCGATTTGAAGCTCGATATATGGGTGCCCCATTTGCTGACCGAGAAGAACAAAATCAAGCGAATTTCTGCAGCCGTTTCTTTACTCGGGCGGCTCAATAACGAGTCGTTTTTGGATCGACTAGTGACGGGCGATGAGAAATGGGTCCTCTACAACAATGTTCAGCGCAAACGGACATGGAAACAATCAGGTGAGCATGGTGACGCAATGCCAAAGGTCAATTTGCACCCGATGAAGGTGATGCTCTCTGTTTGGTGGGATTGCAAGGGCATAATCTATTTCGAGCTTCTCCCCGCTGGCGAAACGATTGATTCGGACAAGTACTGTCGCTAATTAACCAATCTGAATCGAGAAATAAAAGAGAAACGTCCGATTTTGTCAAATCGCAAGGGAGTCGTCTTTCATCACGACAACGCCAGACCACACGTTTCGAAAAAGACGCTGCGCAAACTGAAGAGCCTGAAATGGGATGTCTTAACGCATCCACCGTATTCTCCTGATATCGCACCATCTGACTATCACTTGTTCCGGTCATTGCAAAATTATTTAAATGGAAAAAAATTTGACTCTTTGGAGGCCTTAAAAAACGGCGTCTCTTCGTTCTTCGAATCTAAACCGCGCAGTTTTTATGATCGAGGCATCCGTATACTGCCAGAACGTTGAGAAAAGATTATAGAAAACGATGGAGAATATATCATTGATTGAATAAAGATTCTTGTTTGCCTAATCACTGTGTGACTTTTACTCACAAACTCCGCACGAACTTTTGCACTCACCCAATAGTATTTTTTATTACAGAAGTTTAAAATTTTTTAAATAATTGTGTATTGGTTATGTAATGTTAATTCTACAAGTATATTTATTGCAGGGTACACTATTACCTGGCTACAAGGTGATGATAATTGGCCCAGTTCATTGTAGACGTGGTGTCATCTTGCTAGTAGATGGAAAATACAAAGAAATTGGTGGAGAGGTAGAATCTATGTTAAAACCGAATGCACTGGAGAATGTCTTAGCTAGAGCTTTGTAAGATTGCCATTTTTTGTCAATTTTCCCTCAACTTTTATGGAATGTAAATAATATATAGCATTCTGTTATAGCGAATATATTTTGTTCTTAGAAATTTTATAGACAATTAGCTTTATAACTATCCCACTTTTTTTAAATTCAATTTTACTTTCTTTTCCAGAGATGAGCCAGAAAATTCTGATCCATATAATGATAGTGGTCAACTCAGGAATTCACATCATAATAGTGGACAACTCAGGAATCAGAATAATCAGAATATGCTGTCAAATTCTATCAATGAAGAAAGTTTCTTTGACGATGATTTCGAACAAGCTGTTGACCTGGAAGCACTAACCGCGATTGAACGGCGAAGTCAGGAAACGGTTAAAACTACTCAAAATTGTCCCATAAACAGTACAGAACAAAGACAAGAAACTCAAACAGCTAGAAACAATATCACAGAAGAATTCTTGGAAGATATCGATTTTGAACCCTTGGAAGATTGGTTAGTATACAAATTTAGTTACCTTTAATTTTATTAATAGTATTTTAATTAATTAATATTATTTTATTAATAGTATTTTAATTAATAATTAATAGTTTATTAATAGTATCAGAACAGTCTATCTTTCAGGATAAATTTATTTCAAACAATTGTTTCATTGTGTTTGTTATTTCCTCTACTTCCATTGTACAAAATAATCATTCCAGGCCTGATGAAGATTCTCCTATGAGACCCTTGCAAACATTGCCATCGTCACGAATGGGAACTGAAGGTTTCGGAAAGGAAGATGACTTAATAATAGTTGAGGAAATATCAAGTTCGACATATAATTTACGAGACAAACCGTCGTTTTCCGCAAAGTCTCGTAAGAACAAGGATATCACGAATTTTCCTGACGATGACATTGACTTTGACGATTGCGAAATTATTGAGACAGAATCGCGGGTCATTTGTCAACAACAAAGTAGAAATCCGTATACGTTTAAAAGTGAAGCTGAAGCGTATTCCTCGAGATTAACGAATACTAACAAGACAAACATTGAGAAATATGCTTCCGTGAGATCCCCGGCGACACGAAACAAAAAACCTGTGGTATTATATAACATATTTAGATATCTTTTATACCGAAGTCTCTTCGATTATTTAAGATAATTCATATTTATTTTGTCTAATTAAAACTGCTAGGTCTTCATTCACACAAGTTTATATTTTTATCAAAGGCGAGCACTTCGAGAACCGATCAGAAAATACCAGAAACCACGAAGATTTCAAACTCTTTCGCACCTCCAATTTCTCCAAAAATTTGCGACGTATTGAGTGACGTGCTTCGCGAGAATATTACGGGAACAATAATATATAGAACAGTGAAGGCCAAAGTGAAGAATCATTCGACGTTAACGAAGCAAGGTAAATGCTGGGCAGTGACGGCTTTAATCACAGATTATGCGTCCAGCGTAGAAGTCTGCTTCGACTCTGAGGTATATAGAAATGGAAAAGATAAGATCTCCTGTTTCCTGATTGTAATCACAAGTCCTCGAGTCTCTTGTATCTCTTACATCTTGAAACATTCATGAGTATAGTGTATTAAAATTTTTCAGATTTTAGAGAAATTCCTTGGATTTACAGTACAAGAATTTTCGCATAAAAAGAAACTCGCAAAGTCAGATCCACAAGTGAACACCGAGCTACGACTTGTAAGTTGGATTGTATGTATAAGAATCGATATATTAAGAATGATGTATTACTCTCAAATTTAAATTCTTCAGAGCTTACGCAAGGCACAACATCAGATCGAGACTCTGGACGCGTTGTTGAAACTGGAATTAGCGCAAGGTCAAATGCCGAAAGTTGTTGGAATCACGCAGCAAAAGAAAGAGCCTACTAACAAGTCTACATACAATTAGGCGAACTCGTACAAACTATAAGAAAACCTAAGTAATCCAAAAAAATTTCTTTTACCTTATAAGAGTATTTAGTTATCTTATAGAGTATCCAATTCGAAAGCTATAAGTAATAATTGCTAAGAAAAACATAGTTTTAAAATAACGAAAATACGCCTTGGAGATGAAGAAAGAAGGATAGGAGGAAAGGATGGAATTATTGAATATTGTTGTAAAATTTATAATAAATACTATTTTCTTGACAAATGAAACAATTCTGTTTCCTATATACGGCGATTGTAATCAATACGTGCTCATACAGGATGTTTTGGGATAGTCGAAAGATGAACATATTATGTTGTTATCCTGCTTAAATATTTTTCTTATCTTAAAATCGAATTAAAGATATCAAAGACGCTAGTTCTTTAGTTTTTACATCTGTTCAAAAAGAACAAATTTCGATTAACGAATTGCATGACCATAGCATTTATTAACTGGTACACTTGATCATCGCAGTGGTACATTTTTGTCTCGATTCATTGTTCTATCTCGCTTCATTCTCTCTTTCTCTTTTTCCTCTCTCTCATTCTTTCTTGCACACTTTCATACACGTAACCCTTTCTCTCCCCTGCCTTCCTCTCTCTCACTCGTTTAATACAAGTTCACAGTTGCAGTTAATATCATTTTTTTATTGTTACAATAGATATATACTTATTGCACACTTTTCCGTGATATAAAACTCATTCCACTACTCTTACTTTCTCTCCCTCCTTCCCCCCTCCCTTTCGTTCTCTCTCTCTCTCTCTCTCTCTCTCTCTCTCTCTCTCTCTCTCTCTCTCTCCCTCTCCCTCCCTCCCTCCCTCTCTCTCTCACGCACACACACACACACTCTCTCCCTCCCTCCCTCCTCTCTCTCTCTCTCTCTCTCTCTCTCTCTCTCTCTCGCTCATTTTCTCTCTCTTTCACTCTCTCGAGATACAAAATTAATCCATCATCGAAACACGTCGCACTGATGATTCTGTTTCTAAAATGGGTCTGCAAATAAATTGTTTAAATAACAATAACTTAAATATAAATATCAACGCAATATGTCCCGTGAGCTCCTACAATCGTCGAGAGATTAAATCCTAATCTCTCCGTATCCTTGATCCTTCTGTTCTTCCTGCCTCCGTAAGCACAACGACAGTGTCGTTCCTTGTCAATGGCAACCTGCCTCTCGTTGATCGAACTAATCTTTCACAATAACGTTTTTTTGCAATAACCGTTTTTCGTGGGAGATACATGTCGGCTGCTTTGAGCCTTGGGGTCCTTCGATACTGTTAACCCTTAAAATCGTAGGTTGCAGAAAACATGAATCCTCGGGCACTTACATCGATGGATCTCCTTCATTCTGTGTATCGTATCGAAAATATGTGATCGATGATTAAAGTTGAGGTAATTTAGTTGGCATCTTTTCTTTGAACCTCTTGGTATCCTAAATCCTGGAAGGCTTGAACCCTCGTCTCAATTAGTCGCTATCTTATTCTTTCAAATAATTCAATATATATATCTCAATATATAATTCAATTAAAGCTTGCAATCTAAACGCTTCTTCAGTTATTCTAATTCTTGGGAGTTATGATCGCGGTATTTGAATCAAGTCTCGACACACCTCGGATTCATGAATTCGAGCGGATATTTATTTTATTAACTTTTCAATATCGCGCGGATCCTTTGGCTCATTCAGAGTTTTTTGGATTTTTAATCCGGAAAACTCGCGCAGCTCTTTCGCTCTCCCAACTTCCCCGCAGGACGATGAGCATTCAAGGAATTAACTTTCGGGGATGTTCGACGAGCGTGTCGTGTCCGAGTCTTCCTCGACCGGGACGATTCTCTGCAGTTCAACAGTACATGAGATGCGCAGATCGATCACCAAGACGGCGGCGGTGTCCTTGAGATCATTGGATCGCTTCTATCGATCGCAAATATCGCCGTATGTGAATCGCGTGGGAACTCTCACGGTTGCTGCCTTAGTATCATGTGTAAATGCGTGTGCGTAGGCGTATGTATAATGTATGCGTGTGTGTATGTGTCGCTCTTTGTATCGATGTATGTAGTATATGAGCATAGGTTGTGTGTGATCGGTCCGCGCACACGGTATATACTATAATGAATATCGACGAGCTGCCCTCCGGCAGTGGCGAGGAAAGCAGAGCTCTAACGGAAATTTTTCTACATGATCTCGTCGTCACGACACAGCGCCTCCGACAGACTTTTAATGTTGGGTATCTGAGTGTGTGGTATGTGAATCTGAGTGTTGCGGTGTGTGTGTGTGTGTGTGTGTGTGTGTATGGTGCGTGTGTACTGTTACGTATTCATGTATGTGTGTGTGTGTATATATATGTGTTACGAAAGGTGGTAGGTGGTTTACCAAAAGGCATAACCTCCATCCGTTCCTCCTCCCAGGAACGAGCCCTTCTTTTGCGACAGGGCCACGCTGTGGCCGGCCATCGCGGCCAATTGCGCGGCGTTCGCGGCCACCCCGGGCGGTGGTGGCGGCAGCACTGGCTGCGAGATTCCGTCGAAGCGAGTACCGTCGAAACCGTTCTGTGAAATGACCAGCATAATGAACGGATTAATGTCTGGCGGCGCAAGAGCACGGGCAGACTCCGATGCTATTTTTATTACTCCTCTACAGGACGTTTTATATGTATAAGAAAGCTAAGGCAGTTTAGTATAATATAGAGTTTGCTATCACACGAGGTTACTTCAGATATACTTCAGACATGCTCCCACACACACAGTGGGACTCTTTCTCTCCGCTTATCTAAGAAGGTATGCACACATTGAATGATGATACTTACAGGTACCATAATAGTGGGCCTTACAGGAGCAGGCTGCATAGCAGCCGCAGGATAATATGCTGCTGCTGCAGCCAACGGCGGATAATATTGCAGTGGCCCGTATGCAGTGGGATAGCCCGCCAAGTATCCACCAGGATATCCCTGTCCGTACATCGGCTGATACATCTAAGAGCGAATCGACATTTATCGATACAGTTGAAGCCCACGCGCATTAGCGCGTTCTGGTTCTTAATAATAAAACACTGTAAGTAAGCGACTCTCACCATCGGATGCGTAAGAGTCTGATCGTACGTCGGTGGCGGTGGACCTTGTGTCGCATATAGCTGCGGCTGATTGGGAAACACTCCGTAGGGCGCGGCGCCTGCAACTGTAAAGATGAGTGCTATTGTACTCCGAGTATGTGCAACAGTCCTGGGATTCTGAGAACCAAAGAACAACTCGCGCGATTCTCAAAGCGTAATGACAAGCGTTAGGCGACAAACAAACGAGCATTTACTATGCAATATTACACACGATCGATTGCCGTATTCTCTTGTTGCAATGTACATCAATTATCATACAATGTAAGTATGCACGTCGATCTTTCTTCGTAGGTAAAATCAAACGACCCGTTGCGTTTACGTTAAAAAAAAAAAGAATGAAACAGGCGCACGCATTGATGAGAGGTTCGATCAGTGGAAGTACTAAGAGATAGACAGGCCTTACCACCGTAGGTCGGGGGCTGCGTTGGCGCGGGGACAAAGCCAGTCGGTGGATGCGGTGCCACCGGATACGCTGCAACACAAGGCAACGCGAAATGCAGCTCTACCAAATCTGCAGGCCGCAAAATGGCGTGTGTGTGTGTGTTCGATCTAAGCCAACATGGTACGTGGTACCACCGCCAGAAAGGACGAGTGCCGGCGCGCCCCGACTGCGTCTCGACGCGGCGGCGAAGCCGTCGATCTACCGTCGACAAGTCGTCGCCTCGTCCGCGTCGAACGTAGCGGAGCGCGTCGTCGAGGTCGGGAACGCTGCTGGATCGTTTCCTCCGGCGTGATTTTCTCTCGTGCGCAAACGATCGATGCTTTCCTCAGCATCTCCGAGCGTCTCCATAGCGTCGGCGGTAACTAACGATTCGAAAGAGCGACTCGAGTCGATTTCGAGATGCAAAAACTCTCTGGTATTTTTGTTCCTCTAAGAGTCAAAGCTGAGAAGTCCAAGTTGATAAAGGGCATCGAAAGATGATGCTCCTCTCTCTCGGTATGATCGCTTTGGAAGATTCTTTTCATGCAACTTTTCGACTCGAGACTTTGTTTCCGAATGCAAGGCCGTTTCGAGACGCTCATACTCGAAGATAGTACACTCATTTTGTCCTGTCACGGCGGAGAAAGATCGTCCAGCGCGCCACCGATCCCCAGAGTGGTACTCCCACACCCAAGTATATCTTACACATGACATACACCGTTTTGATCAAGGTACTATTCAAAGCTCAAACAATGTTAGTCACTAAATAATGGTGAAAAGAAATAACCGAAGATATCACGCCCGTCTGTCGCCCCCCCGGGCTTTCCGCCCCCGAGCTTTTATGCCGCCCCGGAACGTGAGCCGCGTTGGCGCGCAGACGGGCTTCTTTGTAAAAACATTTACAAGGTGATCAACTACTCGGCATATTGAAGAACGTCGATTCTCGACCACTCGGTTCGTTTGATATCAATCCAATTGTCACCGACGCATATCTTTCAGACAACTTTGTTGCTTGCTATTGTATATGAAAAAGAAAAAAACACGTTAAAATATTGCAAAGGGGAAGGAGAAAAACAATTTCCGCAATATAATCGGCGATTTCTTGGTAAAATAAAGCAGAGAAAACGTTCTCACGCGAAAGTGAATAATTTGGAAAATTTCTGTCGTGTATAATCCCAACACACAATTGGGATAGATTGTGAGTGAAAGAAGCCGAGGTAAAAGAATGGATCTTTTGCGATTAAAGGCTGAGTTTGAATAATTTCAATTTCACCCGCACTCTGCAAAATTTTGCTCGTGTTCTTCGATTTTTCAAGAGGTTGGTCACCTTGGATCACATCCTCTCGAGGATCCATCGAGGTCGCTAATATATCATCCACACGAATGGATCCACGATCGAGGAGCGGCTGAGGCGAATCGCGCTCGAGAATAATTCAAAGTATCGACAAGTATCCCCCCCTGAGATTGGGGATCGCTGTTTGCAAGGAGAATTGATAATTCAACGAATGCTGTCGTGTCCTGTTTTCAGGGAAAATTGCAATTTTCGTTTTTCCGCCGAAGCTTTTGCCGCTATTCTCAAAGGCTATTCTCGAAGAGCGACTCGCCGCTGAGCAACCTTTACTTCTAGAACTAAGATTTAATACGAAACCGATCTCAAAGCAAATAGCGTTACGCAATCAAGGTAGAAGCCAAATACATTCGTCTAAGAGGTCGAGCCTGAGGGATCCGCGCGTCAACTGAGAAGCGTCAGCGACAAAACACTCGCCCGAACGTAACAAAATCTTCGAGACAAATTGTTAACATCTTGAGCTGCCGCGTGAATGTTTCGCGAGTCCTTAGGAAGCTGGACAACACTAGGATGGATCTGGAAAAGGAGCGTCTTATGAGTTACTGTATATTCTGATATATTCATTTACATGAAATTCAGAAGGTGGTACGGACAAGTTTTGTGGTTGTTGAAGTTTTGTTTTACTAAAAACAGATTGATTACTCGAGAAGCGGCACACTTTGTATTTAGCGCTCTTGGAAGAAGAATCATGTTCGGAGAGTGACGAGGATTTGGAACATTGGGAGCGCTGAGCATCTCGTGACAGGTTTACCGGACTTGGACTCTTGCTGGTATTTATGCGCATCGATCTTCTCAGCATCTTCTCAAGAACGAGTTCGCTCATGATTATGTTCTCTGCAAGCAAGCAACATGTTAACAATTCATCCGTTTGTACTTTGCTTCATCGACGACCGCTAATTAGCTCGTCGTATCCCAACGCGTTATACTTGAACGTGACATTCTCGTTACAGTTGTCAACTCGCAATCTCAATCGCAACCCGGAGCATACGATTGCGCGTATGTGGAACGTGACGGTGTACATAGATCGTCGCAAATCCCGAGACTCGGCCGCGTTCGAGGAACAGAAAAACGACAAAACAGAGCTAAAATAAAGCCAGGAGGTAAGAAGGATAACGGTTGCTCCAAAGAGTGATGTTAAAACAAGCCCAAGTAATCGAAGGACTCGCGATGTGAGAACGACAGTCGGTCTCAGCATCATTGTTACATTATCGATATCATTATTATCATTATCATCGTCGTCATTGTGATTATTGTTATCGTCGTTCTCGTCATCGTCGACCGATGACGGGACGCGATCTCTCACAAAGTTGAACCGAGGAGAAGAGAGACTCTACATTTCTCTCTTTCTCTCTCGAGGCGGTGAATGTGTAATTTATACAATGAGTAGTGGTACGATGATTATGTATATATATATATAGATATATATATGTAATATTTATATATGCATATATAGCGGTGGACTATATATACATATCGGGCTCCACACATTCAAAAAGTCGTGACAAGACTCAGCAAACCACAAATTTCTGCAAATATCCAGAGATAAAGGTCAAACATGATTAAAAGTTCCTCGGAATCGTGTGTAATAAGTAAGTAGGTAAACGTCGCGGCGACCGGCCGCGTCGCGACGCCGCGAGACGCTCGGCCGCCTGCATTTCTCTCTCTAGTCCTTTTAATTATCTAAATTGCGCCATGCACCGCGCGTCGCCGCCGTCGAGAGGTCAATTATCCTTTCGAGCGTTTCTTCTACGTTTCCACACAAATATATATATATCGCACATACTGTAAGAAAACGAAAGAAGCGTGCCGTGTAAATCTCCATTCTATTGTTTTCTTCTCGAAGGAAAGAAAGGAAAGAGAACAAACGATAAAGAAAGCGCGGTCTTTTCCAGAGTTATTAGCAAACTGATGAAACTGAAGATATCTCCGAGCCGTCTTCAAGATACACAAGACTCGAGAAAGACGGAGATTACGAATCGAAAGAAAGTTACATCTCCATTACGGAGAAAGGAAAGCGGCTTTTTCCAAGGCAGAGGATTTTTCGTCCTCCGGGCGACGTGCGCGCGGTTGCTCTGGCGCTGGATGGACATGTTATACTCTAACATAAACGTCAGCCCACACCAAATTGTCCATGATATGACCGAAGGCTGGTCGAACGGGCAGAGACGAGTGGTCCAACGAGCGGCGGCGGCGGCGGCTTCCCACACGTCCGTTTCCGCTACAAATTGCGTGATCTCGCGAGAGTTTACGGTGTCGATGATGCAGAGAGGCTACTTTACATTCTCGATTGCCAGGTACACGCGCACACACGCGCACACACGCGCACACACACTGCTGCCGGTCGACCAGTGGCTCGGACGAGGAGAAAGGAAAGGAATCTGACTCGCTTCGTATCACTGAGGGGCTTTCACAGAGGTGTTGGAAAAAGCTGATTGAAGGGAGGAAAAATGTCAAAAATTCGGAAACTCAAGGATCCGGATGAGCAGAAGGACTTGGGTGAGAATCGTTCTATTTTAAGCACTCCACGCGTTTTCTCTCTCTCTCTCTCTCTCTCTTTCTTTCTTAGATTCTTCTCTTGGTATCGTGTTACGATACACACTGGACACTGGTTCGTCCACACGTTCGCGCAGCCTTCGGTATAGTAATAAGTTATGTATCAATGTGCCACGGTGCAAACAATTATCGAATCAGTAACAACCGATTGTAATATGTAATTAATGCTAGTACGGCTTCAATGATAAGTCGAAAAGTGTCCATAGCTCCCTTTCCTCTCGCTCTCTCTCTCTCTCTCTCTTTCTCTCTTTGTCTCACACTCTCTCCCTCTCTCTCACGCACGCACTTTCTCTCTCCCTTTCTGACTTCTTCGATTTGTCCCAATGAGCAGTTCGACGCTATTCAGAGCACGATCCATTCTGATCTCGTTTGTTTTTTCGCTCGTTTCAGTCTACTCGACGACCCACGTGAAATGGCCTGGCTAACGAGACCAAGGGTGCGTCTACTTTTCTTTTTTTCTTTCTACCGGACAGCGGCTCATCGAATTGCTTCCGTGGAACAGGAAGTGTCCTTGGGACGAGTCCGCGACCATCGGAAGCGCAATGAGAAAGAACCGTTGGCAAGACGCGAGTATGCGAATTCTGTGGCAACAATTTGAGGAACGAATGCCAAGAACACGTGGTATATCAGTCGGATACTTCCGTAAATCCAACAGTTCATTGCGAAAGTAAAGAGAATGTAATTCAAGGAATTACATCCTTCTGATGAATTTACAGAGGCGGTAGGCTACAACCCGGCGAGTGGCTCGCTTGTTCTTTGCACGATCGTCAAACAACTATGAGAAAGACCGAGGGGGGGCATCCCTCTCGCTTCCGATGATGTTTCAAATAATCGTCGCAAGGACACCCTCGTCCAGTATCGACCAGCATATATCGAACGAACGCTACTTCGCTTAAGCTCACTATTAACAGTATACACGATTAACATGTCTTGCCAATCATGCGCATGCAGTCCGTCGCGTGACCAGGAGAACTCGTCTCGCGATTTCCCATCGGGGATGCGAACACATCCCAGCATCCGAAACGAGACGTGACACGCAAGCTCGAGTGTGTGGCACGTTAATTGTTAACGCGTGAAATCTATATGCGGAGAGCATATACACGTGCGGACAACGGAAGAGTGACGACGCGCGAGGAGAACGACGCTGACGAGTCTCCCGGAAAGAGCGACGTCGAGGTCATCTACGGAACTACGGTGATCACACAACAACACGACGATTCAAAACATGATTACACCAGTTCGCTCGATCCCGCCTTCCTTCGTGAATTGAAGTTGGCAAGCAAGTATATAAGTAAGGTGTAGGTGTCTGCGGGAGGGATCGAACGCGAATGAAGTAATCAATATACAAGGCGAAATCGTGAGAACCGGCTAAAACAGTATATCGAAAGAAAAGAAACATGCACGATTGTAGAAACAACAGTGGCGGGAGACTCTGGCCGACCGTCCTCCATTCCTCCCTTCGATCCTTTCATCATCGGCCTATCTCTCCGTCCCGTCTCCCCCCTCCCTCTCTCTCTCTCGCGTATGCGCGATCAATCTACAAATGATTTCTTGTTTTCAGAGAGCAAACGGAGGACGATCGTACGGTGACTCTCTTAGCCGTCGAGGAAAAAACGTTCCGAGCATGCGAACCCAGACGTAACAACTCATGGAAAAATTGAAGCTCGTTTTACTCGCACGGAGGTCTACTGTTGGAATGGCGGTAAAGGGCGAACGCAATTTCACTTTTGCATTTTAGTCAGTCGCGATTGCGTAGCTCTCGCGCGCGTTCTTCATTTCTCTCTTTGGCATACGCACTACACAGCACACACACATACACACACACACACACACACACACACACACACACACGCGCGCGCACGCACGCACGCACGCACGCACGCACACACACAGACACACACACACGTACACACGCGCGCACACACACTTTCTCTCTTTTTTTTCCTTTGTTCTAAAATCAAGCACACGCGAGAGCGGCAAATTACATTCACGGCCGACGAGTGTGACATTACGTTTCATGTGATTTCGCTGCTTCCACCAATACGACGTTCAAAGTTAAACTACTTTAAACTCAACTACCGAAGAATCAATCTATGGTTACGACTACGATCATCGGAGGAGGAAGTCGAGATGTTTCTCTCTCTCTCTCTCTCTCTCTCTCTCTCTCTCTCTCTCTCTCTCTCTCTCTCTCTCTCTCTCTCTCTCTCTCGTTCTCTTTCTTTCTCTCTATATCACGTGCCTACAACGTGCAAATGAGCGCTGCCACGAGTTTCCTCATCTGTCGATCAACTCTGAATTCTCCTTCGATTTAGAACTCGACCTGTCTCTCTTTCTCTTTTTTTCTTTTTCGTTCTCGTTCTCTCCGCGATTGTGTCTTGTCGCGCTTGACGATACTCGGGAAACTTGTGGCGCGGCTCGAAGCGACATGCACTATTTGTTAAAAGTGAGCTGGCAAGTTCCTAATGAAGTAAAAGTATCGTCAAAAGAGTATGCCGAGCTTAGATACAGCATTCGTGTCCAGCCGCTACGTTTGCGCGTGCACGTATGCACAGCTCGATGATTCGCGAATTGATTATTTCGCGAACTCACGTGACCGATTGATATGCAAAAGACGAGAATAAACAGAGATCGATAGTCATATAAAACGTAATGTCACCGAGATGAAGATTTTTAGAAGAAAAGATTTCTCTCCCGCCTCTCGACTATTCTTACATCAAACATGTGAGATCGATAAAAACCGACTTGATTATTCGACAAATTATCTGCCGGATGTTCCGGCATTTCCGAGTGTCTGCTTTACGTGCGACGATTTTCAATCTAGACTTGTAACAATATCAAATTGATGCTTCTTGTACTTGGACAAAAGAATAAAAAAACTTGCTTTGTTTTTGCACGTTACTGCCATTATCAAAGAACAGTCACTTGTCGTAAAACTCGCGACTTTACAGTAGAATATAAATGTACACGAGCGTGCAGCCGCGCGCGCGTGGACACGTCGAGCATAGAATAATAAAGAAAAGAAAAAGGAAAGATAGTATAAAAGAACAATGAGTAAAGCAATCAGCCAATACCACGAAGTTCCAGTACGAAATATCGTTACACCCATATCAATATCTTACGATCATATTGATTTGGATATATAGCGACCCACGCCTCCGACTCCCAAACACGCGACCGATCGAACACGGCGCGATACGTCACACGGCGTTCACGGTCGCGACAATGGGAAACCGATTCGAATCGCGCGCACGCGCCTTCTCCGCGTGAAGTTTGCGCATTAGCACGCTCGATACCCTTCTCCTTCGAAAAATCGATAAAAATCGCGCTTCGACCTCGCGCTTTTGTTGCAAATTTCCGCCCCTGAGAAAAATGTCAACGATCGTCCGATGTTACCCGCTGAATCACCGCTATCGTTCTCGCGGAGATTTTTTCCCGAAATCTTCCCAACTTTCTTTCACGCGGAGAACTTTGCGGCGTAGCACGATCGCGTGGAGAAGTCACGCGACTCGCGATTTCGGCGTGGCGCGTTTCTTCTTTCGAATCGGGAGACGTCCGGTGCGTTCTATATCTTTACGTACGTTGAGGTTAGAGGAAAGCCAACGATCGCTTCTAATCTTGTTGAGAGTGTTACTCTCTTCCTACTAATACGCGATCGCGTATTCGATCGTCGACGATAATAAGTACGACTCGGGAATCTATCAAGGATCTAGGGACTCGCGCTTGGAAATCTAAGAAAGCACAAGTGTAAACACTTAGAAATGCAAAATTTCCGAAGGTCCCCGAAGTCCCGGAACTCCGACGAATCCAAATGCTACACAACATAATTAATATGTGAGACTAACAAGCTGAATGTCAGCGTATTACGCATGTTATGGAATTGTGGGACTGTGAAGCGGTAATTCTGAAATCGAAGCAATTTCGAAAGGGCGAAACGTGGAATCAAGTTATCTACAGGTCCGTAGATCCTCTGAGACGTTTATGGATTCTTTTCTCAACGAGACACCTTGCCCTCCCGCGAGGGCAACGCACTTGAATAACAGTGGAACAGTTTAGAAGCAACCGGGATGGCTTGCCATATAGCCTCAGCATATTCAGGTGGTATACATATTTATATAATATTTATATATATATATGTGTGTATATACGTAATATATGTTGGTTAAACACGTAGTGATTTAAGGTAATATATAGAGTAAGGTGAGATTAGATACGTGGCTTAGGCTGCGCCGGTCTCCGGAGCTCCACCTACTGACTGGGATCAAATCGTCTTTGTAATGGTCCGCTGCAAACACATTGACAGCCAAACTGTAGGCACTATCCCTCCGCTCAAGCTGCTACACCGCCAAAGGTATAATAAACGGTAGCAGATTTGCAGCAGTATAACAGTATCTTCGCATGTTCTTACTAACAGCATTATATGGAGTTTAAGGAGCGCATCGGCTCTCCATTTACAGGCTAAGCTTTACGTATCCTTAACACTGCGCTCTGCAGGAGCGCAGCACCTGCTTTGGGAACAGACCAGACAGACTTGATAATGAAATGTCGTACTGGAGCTTAACAGCTCTTAATGACACTTTTATGAAGGATACTTTTTCTCTCTCTTTCTTTCACTCTCCCTTCCTCTCCCTCTCTCTCTCTCTTTCTCTCCCTCTCTCACACTCTCTCTCTCTCTCTCTTTTTCGCCAGAGCTGTTCCACAAATGTCTCGGATCTATTGCACACTGCTGTATCGTGCAGATGATAACTGAGCAGATCCGTGACACCTGGAACAGCTTGAGCGTACAAACAGATGCTCAAGTGAACTCGATCGCTTTGACCCTGCAGTGTCTATTCTATCATAATTGGGTACCGCGAAACTGTTTGCCAAACTGTACGTGATACTCTCTTAAGCTCTATGAGCCCTTCTTTTATCATATTTTTCACATACGGGCGTTTGTGCGCAATCTCATTCGTAATTGTGTGGCTCCTGCATCTGTAAGAATACGACTGAGTAATATCAAGAGATGACCTCCGGAGAGTATATGTAACTGGATAACAAACAAAGACACCAGAATGGGTCTGTATCCCTTGAATTTCCATTCAACGATTCAACCAAGAAATCGTGTTTCAATCTTTAGTACATGTTGGTGGCAGAGAAAAGGCATTTAGTCAAAGTACATTTAAGATCAAAGCTGTTGTTCCAGCTTCAGGGAGATAACATACATATGCATATACGTTACAAGTATCATTTACGTATGTTACAGTATGCACATGTGTGCACTTGGTAGAATTCATGTTTCATCAATGCGTACATATTCACTAAGGATGAGAAAGGAAAATTTTGCATATTTTACAGTGAGAATGCATCCAAAGATATATTATTAATGAGACTGAATAGATTTGAGTATCAGAAGCAAATACTTGTAATTTAAAAAAAGTTGAAGACATGAAATTCTGATAAAGTATCTCAAGAAATAGGAGCAAGAATCACAAAGAACTGAGACTTGGAGATATGTGGAAAGAAATTAAAAATTTAAAAGGCGCAAAGATTTGTGGGTCCAAAGGCCCAGCTGATTTTGAAGAATCTGAAAATGTAAGTGTGCACAGAAGATGATGCAATTTTGCAAGAGTTGCCGGAGAATATAAAAATCTAAGAGAGCCCCCGAGGACATTGGCAGTGAACATGTCCGACGAAAATTCGGAGGCAGCCCGTGAGGAAAAAATTTCCGAAAATATTTCGCAAAGGGGAGCGGGGGAGATGCGAAAAAGACAATTTGCAAATTCGGCGCATAAGCCGATGTAAGATGCAACGGGATTCTCTCTCTTTTATCACGGGGAAAAAGAGAGAAAGAGAACGAGCAAGTCTCCGGAGGCCATTTTGTATTCCCAGTGCGATGCGCGGTATTGATTTGTCCTGTCAACTCGGGCCAGGTATTCGGAGCGATTTGTGCCGACGCCCGGGACCCCGGCACGCGAGAAGCGAACGACGGCGCGTCGCCTCGCATCGTGAGCCGTGTGCACCAGGAGTCGCGTCGACGCCGGCGTCACTTCGGGTGACGGTCGTGCGTCGCGTCGGGTGACAAGTGGTGAAGCACGGCTTATCTTAACGAGCGCACGCGTGTGTATTGCGTGTACGTGTATGTGTGTATGAAAAGTGTGTCCCCGTGTATGTACGTGCACGCGCGTTTCCTGGTACCTGTGCGCGCCTGTGTATGTGTCTGTATGTTTCCCTCTCTCTTTTTCTCTCTCTCTCTCTCTCTCTCTCTCTCTGGGTCTGTCGGTGTATATTACACGTAACTGAACAGTAACACGTGTGACTACGTGGTATAATTACCTTTCTTGTCGGTCATTATTGCTTAAAGTTTCACAATTTTACTAAAAAAAAAGTGGTACGTTATTCCTAATTAAATCACCGATTCGAGTCTCGCAACACTGTTCGGCCGACGGGAACGGCTGTGACACTTGACAGACACTAGCGCCGTTTATTGAGCGTGGCTGTGGTGGCGGCGCGGCGGCGCCGCGCGCTCCTGCTCACTTCGCACTTCGATTGGATGTCAGCTTCACCAGTGAGAGAGCTGCGAGGTAAAGGCTGCTCTTCAGAGTTTTGCATTTGCGCACATTAAATCACGACGTCAATGTATATCCATTCGAAAGATTGGCTACGTTCAGCAGAGAAAGTTTTGTAACTGTTGCAAAATTTGTGAATCTGATTGGTGCGTATTTTTGGATTTAGTCAAGTTTAAAAGCATATGCCAATTAGATTAACGAATTTTTTGCAGTTGTAAAGTAATCTTTTCTGCTGAATGCAACCAATCAGGCTTCGAGTCGAGTCCTCATGTGTATACTCAGGCTGTGTTCCAAAATTCATTGGCTGCGTTCAGTAGAACAAAGTGATCAGTGAGCGCTTAGTGATTCTCGCTCCTGATTGGTAAATACTTCTGGGTCTATGAAGAATCTAAAAATATGCTCTAATCACAGACAATAATCACTAAGCGCTCACTGATCATTTTGTTCTACTGAACGCAGCCAATGCTAACGCTGAAAAGTTATAGTTTGCGTGGTACAAACCAGAGAGAAACGCGAGAGCGGTGTTTTCGACCGACTTTCCGCACTGGGAAAGGGCGCCATCTGCATCCATTTTGAGAGGAGAACTACGATGCTACATCCACTTTCAGGTTTCGGCGGTAAAACCTGTATGTGGTGGCAGTCCGTGCTACATCCATTTTTAGGCGATTTATGTCCGTGCTACAACCATAATAGCGTACTTGACAAGCACGGTCTCGCACATTGTTACGCGTTTATAACATGAATTAACATGTTAACATGTGCAAAAAAAAAGAATTGACATTGTGTATGATTAATATCATGAAGATCATATGAAGTGTCCGGTAATTAGCTGCCAACCCGAAGTGTGAGGGTAGATTGGGTTGAGACAAACATAAAAGTCCCATACCATTTTGCGAGATTCACAATAATTATCGAGTTATTAATGGCCTCGTTCAGTAGAACAAAGTGATCAGAGAGCGCTTAGTGATTATTGTCTGTGATTGAAGCATTCTTTTAGATTTTTCATAGACCCAGAAGTATTTACCAATCAGGAGCGAGATTCAGTGGAAAATCCAGTAATGTTGTCCAACTGTTGAGTCTGCTGAATGCAGAATGACAGAAGTCAGAGGATTAAAAGCGCGCCGACATAGATGATTCGAAAAGCGTTGCAGCTGCTCGGGGCAGCGATCATGAATCTTTTCCCTAGCGTGAACTAATAAAAAGTAAAAGACTTCTGTGAATCAATGAAAAATGAAATGAAAAATTTTATATGAATTTGTGAAAATCGAAACATTTCACACAACAATTGAGTCGTTCAACATGGCAGTTGCGCGTTCTGGATAATTCAATGAATACCAAAGAAATCAAAATGATCAAAATAATAATGTCCGTGTAGTCCGAAGGATATTACGTGACACGCAAAATCCGTTTGATATAATATCCAAAGAAAATGGTCAAAATATGTATGTACGTACACACTACAAACACACACAGCCGCCATGCTTGGCGGTCTTCATGGCCGAACCGGAAAATACACTCGGCACAGCTCTTTTTAAAAGTTGGGTATCTAGTATAGTACAGACATCTGTGACTGGCAGTGAATTTTGGAACACGGCCTCAATCTGCGAAGCGTAATTGGATTTGGATGCATACTTGAAAGAATGGACGAGTGACTAGTCTCTGTTGTTTTGCCCATGATGTGAAAGAAAATGAGAGCGAAAGACGTGTATTGAACATATACGATGTATGTTCTTGTCGTTTAGGCACATAAATATATATTTATTTATTATAAATACTGAATGTATTCAACTATAGTCTATAATTCCATTGCATTGTCGGCTGTATTTTATCAAAACTATATATATATATATAAATATATGTGTGTGTGTGTGTGTGTTTCTCACGTATGGTACTGTATTTTCTATCTCAGCACGCATGCGTAAGCTATTTGTCCATCTCGAAACATTGCTCAGATATCGAACAATGTTTATTTCCAAGGCTGTTTTGTAACAATATTTGATTGCCATTACTTCGAAAGATACAATTACAACGGCAGAATGGCATCGATTGCTCGTATTGGTATCACGAAGCTCGGATATAATAACCTTGTTAGACAATTATGTAAGGTTAGTACTTGCAATCTTGCGGATTTTATTCTTGATATTCAAGAATGATCTGTAAAACACGCAATTAATTTTGACAATTGAGTCACAAAGAACTCAGCACGATACAAATGTTACTTAATATGGAATAAATATATATATATATATATATATGTCAATGCAGGGTTGCAATTAGGTTAAGTTAAAGTTACAATTACAATAGTTGCATAGTTATAGCAGTTATAATCATTAGGAAAGCTACAAATAACTTTAATGCAATTAAGTATGCAATTTATCAGTAGAATATTCAGATGTAGTTGTCTTACTTGTATTCCGTACAAACTGTACAGGTAACAACTGCTGGCAACTGCTGGTACCAAGTGGCTTTCATCAGTAGAAAAGCTAAACGTGTAGCTGCAGGTATACGGGCACGGTTGCAGCCTTTTGACTACATGAATAAACAATATACTATGTGGCAACAGTTGGTTGATCCAATAATTGACAGGCTGGATGATAATTCTAAAATAATAGTTATCGAAGGTCCAATGACCTCAAACAAGGCTAAGTTAGGCCAAAAACTAGCAGATGAACTTGATATGATATATTTACCATCACCAAATTTCGACGAGTATTACATAACCAACTATGGATATGATTTACGTACACTTGATGATAGACTATCGATAGGTGCACAATCATGTGACTTAAAGAAATTCCTGACAAATCCGCATCATCCTAATGTGCCTATGTTCCAATTACATTACTTCCAACTCAAATATGATCAATACATTACTGCTTTATTGCACTTATTGTGCACTGGCCAGGGAGTAATACTCAACCGCTCTTTCTATAGCAGTTTTGTATTTGCACAGGCAATGACAAATGCAGGCTATATGCGTCCTCAAGCACTACGATTTTACAATAAAGTTGTAGGAATGGCAGAGGATGCAGTGATGAGGCCTCATTTGGTAATTTATTTGGACCTGCCTGTTGATGTTGTTCAGGTAATTTATTTTATTATCATAGATAATACATTCAGTGTAGAAAATTGTTATAAAATAATAGACTTTCTCCAAATCTTATAAAGTAATCCTGAATATAAAGACCTGGAGAGAATTGTTTGAAAGGAATTAAACTTTTAGTACTTTGCAAATCTAAAATTTCTGTTGGTTTAAGTATTTTTATATTGATTTCAATTCAGTTTTTGTCTCTAAAGCAAGCTTTGGATTTTGCATTTTGTAGATTTCAGTTTTAGGCAAATTCTTTATGCAAATATAAGTGTTTTTATATTTGTTATTCAAATTGTTCTATAAATAACATTTGATATCAGAATGTTTTATCATTTTTTATTGTGCTTAATAATTGCAGGAAAGAATAAAAAAGCGAGGTATACCATACGAGGTGAATTCAAAAGTGCTAACAAGAGAATATCTCACGGATATTGAAACATCGTACAAACAAAATTACTTAAAGAAAGTTATGAGTCATTCTCATGTACTGATGTACGACTGGACGGAAGAGGGAGATGTTATGAGTGTGATCGATGATATCGAAGAATTGAACTTTAATATATACGACAAAAACGGTAAAATGGCGGATTGGATTTTCGAAACTGTGCAAGAGCTTCGTATTAAAAGAACATATCTTCATGAGAGATTTTATCTGCATCAAGATTACCTCACAATCGATCTTAATGTTCCGGAATTAGCTTATACACCTGACGAAGTGAAAGAAATACACGAAAACTACATAACGGTACATATATATTTATAAAAATCATTGCTGTTGTAATTTTAGTATTTATAACGGAAGACAACAAGAGTCAATTGCAGATTACATACAGATACAATTTATTTAATATTTATTTCTACTTTTTTTTTCTACTTGTGCTCTGTACATCATGTTATGTATTATTTATTTCGATCGTAAAATTGCTTGATATTGCTTGTCGAGAAATTACGAGTTGGTTAGAAGTACGACAAATATCTTTCGAGTATCTTTATACTATGTAAGTATTAATTTTGCAACAGATACCTGGTGGAAAATATGATACGGGGTTCAACACAGACATGGGGGACAAAGGAATCTTGTGGAAATATCAATTATCAAAGATACATAGGTCCCTCAGAACTCGACCTCGTGACATGGAAGTGCTAAAGGAAGAATTTAAGAAACTCAAAGCTGCTGCGTTTGGCTCAAAATAAGGAGAATATGTTCTCATATACGTGTAGGAAAAAAAATAGATAAAACTTGTAAACACAATAGCTGAAGCAAAAATAAATTGCTGTTATAAAATAAACATCATAAGACGATATTTATTCTTTTTCTTTAAGGACTGTGTAATGACATAAAGGTCCATCTACAATGGCTGCAAGAATAAGGTTCTAAGCGTAAGCAGTAAGAAATAGACCAACCACAATCGATTATTATTAATAATCGATTATGGTTGGTCCATTTCTTACTGCTTTGGGCCAGAGCACAGACTTCTGCATAACGCATAATACAAAACGCATAAGAGAATCAACTAATCAGAGTTCTTCATTTCTGTCCTGAGGAGGGAAATGAAGAAAATTAATTGGTTTATTCTCTTATGTGTTATGTATTATGTATTATGCAAAAGCCTGTGCTCTTGCCCTTATGCTTAGAACCTTATTCTTGCAGCCATTGTAGATGGGCCTTAAGACTCGCAAAACTGGTTATAATTCGATCTTGCGTTTAAGATCGCGTCGAGTTTATTACTAGATGATGCGTGACGAATAAAACGGCTCTCAGCGTCAGGAAATGGCGGCGACTCGGTGGCTGGTGAGATAATCTTTTCTCTCAAGTGTCATACAATTCAATGAATTGAATTGTTGAAACTTGATATTTTTTATCATTTTTTTCTTAAATATTGTTCATCGATGTTCTGTTTTTAGTTATTTGCTGCTTTCGAGATTAGAAAATATCTCTGTGAACAGTCCGCCATACAGAATTTTGCTCACGCGCATGCGCATTCATCGCACATTTTCTCCGTATCTCTTGATTCTTGTGTCGCATGCGATTTTGGCAGATGCGAATCAAAGCACAAGTTATAAAGCTAGACGTTCCGAAGCCAATGTCGTGGAAGGCCATCGCATCCGTCGATCAACGATCTCACCGGTGTTTCATGAGTCTCGACAGAGTAAGCACACGTTACTGTTGCTCGCCCATCACGAGCGATCGCATTTGTCGACCGCGCAACAAACTGTACGGACGTGTTGCCTTCTTGCTACGATCTATATCTGACTACGGAAGGGACGCTGCTGCTTGATCACGGATGCATATATCGATGGTGAGTACAAGAACGATCGCAAGACCGATCCATGACTTTCAACCTCGTGGCTGTATGTCAGAAAAAGCTATACTTGTCCTTCTGTGACCAATCGAGGGGGGCTTTCGTATTTTTTTTCTTTTTCTTACTGTCACGCATTGTGTCTTTTCTGAAAGCTGATCTTGCCGAAAAAACCAGATTGTTGTTTTTAGCAGGATATATTTTATTGTCAGTAAAAACTTGTAAGTCTGCTGCTGCCGTATGTACAATCAATAGAACAATATTCATTTAAGTTGCATGGATTGAGGTGAATGAAGAGACAAAGTGAGCAAAGATGGAGGTTTTACTTGGGAAATTTATTCGTAACTTTGATATGAATATTCAATGAGCATCTTTGAATTTTAGGTTCTTTTTCTTTATTTCTCTTTTCTCTCTCTCTCTCTCTCTCTTGTTATTTTTTTCTCTCTCTTTCTTTTGCTCCTCTCTCTTTCCTTCTTTTATTTATTCATTTTGCCACTTTTCTCATATATGTAATGAATAATGGTATAAATCTAATTATGTATGTGTTGTAGGTGTAGTCATGGTTGAGATACCAAAGGATTGTGTCTTGCAGTGGGCAGGCCATGCTGGATATATTACGGAAAGATTCAGTGGTCTATTGGCACGTCAAGCTCTAGTTGATGTCACATTGATCTGCGATGAACAAAAACTACGTGTTCACAAGCTGGTTTTAGCTTCGAATAGTGTATATTTTGAGGTATGTATATAAATTTTATGATGAAATGGTAATAGCCATGCTTTATGTATATTTTGGAAACTAGGTCTATATATTTTATATGCTGATTTAATTATTCTTTCACTTGGATGTCATGATTTATTCTCAATTATTGATACATACTTTTTATATAAATTGTATTTATTATATTGATATTTGTCATTCATTGCACATCAATATCAGCAGATAAAGTGGATATTATATATCCCATTGACAGTTGTTATTGTTTTTAAAATATACCACTAAACATTAACATACAAAAAGAACATTAAACTTGCTTGTTTTCTGCCTATACAAACTGTTTTATAAGATAGAAGGTATATACTTTCAGATATTCAGTAGAATTTTAGTAGAAGTTTAATAGAGAGTTTTAATAGAATAGTCACAATGTGTACTTTGTAGAGGTAGTATAAAGAGATTCTCGAAACATAATGTGTAAAAGTGGATGGAGGAAAGAGTAATTTGTTTTTATTTACACTTGTTGCAGCAAATTGCTTCACTTTCATCATGAAATGTGTTGATTAATGTTTCGATGCGCATCTCTATTTTTCCTTGGAGATCTGCTGATGACTGAGCAGTATCATTAAGATTTTGTTGAATGAACTTAAGGATCTCTTATTGTCGTTATAATTGTTTTTTAATTATTTATCTATAAAATTATTTATTGATAAAGAGAACTCCTTAATTGTTTGTGCTCAGTGAAGCAAGGTAATGATAATTCGACGTTATATTTTTATAATCACACTTATTGTCTTAATTTAATAAGTAAATTCAATTTCTTCATTATCTGTACTCTTGAAAATATTTACTACTGTCAGAAACTCCAGAAAGACATCTTTCCAATACTCAATTGCCTAAAATTATTTGAATATATAATGAGAAAGATTATATACATTGGGTATCACTTCCAAGGGTCTCCTAATAATATACACCAACAGAGAAAATTGTCTGAACGTTTATAGAAGAGGATGATAATTGTCACTAAAATCCAATAAAACACGCATATGTAGAGAGTAATGTTACAAATTTTATCAACAAAATATTACTGAGCTTGCGTCTATGATTCTCCTCTCACCTGTATAAACTTTATCACGTATAAACTCATGAAATTTTTATTACATCTATTTCAAAATCAAAAAATATAGTGTATTTATGGTAGAACGATTTTGCAGGGGTAATATAAGATTCGTATAAACTAAAGAAAGCCTTGCGTGTATTCGGAATTTCGTTATTTCTTTGCAAACATTCGAAGAAACCAAGTTCGAAGGGCATACTTTATACAGTTTTCAAACAACAGCCGTTCTTTAGAAAGGTATTAAATAACTAATTCATATGATCTAAGGGTAGAGTAAAGTATGTACACTCGAGTGTTTCTATCTTCCGAGAATACGTTTAATATCGTTTCGTGTTCGTGTATGCAACGAGTCTATATAGAGAATTACAGAATTGCTTGCATGATGTGATTATTTTTCCACGTACGAATAAATAAATCATTGTCGCGTAAAAGACTATACGACAGTTTAGAAAGTGCATCGACGACTAAATTATTAATCTTTCAACTGCTCCTATCAAGAGCGTGCTGGCTCACAACTCGCTGCTTGCTCTTGCACCAAAAAGAACTTATAAAACACGTGTTGAATGCGTATGCGAGGAATAATTCGAGTCGTGCGGTTGAAGGATTAAAGTCAATCTTTAAAATTACGTCTACACTCTTAGCTCTCTAACTTTCTCAATTTTTATTATTTCTCTGCGATATTCCGTTTTGTTGTTGCACCATAGGAGATACTACAGCAAGACCTGGGGCAAGAACCGATTATACTTTTAAAAGACTTGGACTTTGAAATTCTCAAGGCCATGGTCGAATTCATGTATTGCGGAGAAACCACGGTATCCCACCACTATTTGTCATCCTTGCTGAATGCAGCGAAAATTTTCAAGGTACGTATTACCATTATATCCGATCGAGATTTCACTTGATATCGAATCTAACTTGCCCCCCGCATTTTCCCTCACAAGGTGAAAAAATTGGTATCCGTGATCGACACAATCTTTGGCACGAGAAAGATCCTCGACAACTTTGAGACTTGCCTGAAACAACAGACGGGAGACTACAATCTAAAAGTTACAAACAATTCGCTCACGGAGAACGATTACGTCTGTGTCAGATGTGATAAGCTGAGTATGGACAACACTTCGCTTTGCGCCGATAGCAATAACGACGTATGCTCAACAAAGAATCAGTCTTTAGAGAACGACACGATTGACGACACCGAGCACGATTCCGAGCACACGTTGTACGACGAGTCGGACGTTATCGATATCGATAGCGGCAAGGCTGCAGAAACGTCGTCCTTCTCAATGTCCGACGTAAACATCAGCTGGCGAAGCGATATCATTAGCGCCGTGTCCGCGCACGGTAACGTAAATCAAGTACAAACGATGGGGTGTGCACGCGATGATAGGGACGAAACTTATTGCAATAATAGTCACGACTTAAAACCTATGTTGTACGAACAATGCTGTGATTTAACCGAGGTAAGCGAACATCACGATCAAACCACCTGCTCCTCCGCCTCCGCCTCCGCTTCCTCCTGCTCCACGACGACGACGACGACGACGACGACGACGACGACGACGACGACGACGACGACGACGACGACGACTTGCTTTCCGCGAGTCGACGATGATCCTGAGCACTGTCTCGACGACATGAGTAGCGCAGTTCCTCTTAGCAAAGTAGGCAAATGCATCAAGGTTTACACGCACAAGCGACGCAAGTCCGTGGACGAGATGCGCAACAAGCTTGTAAATGCGCAATGCAATCTAGTGCCAACCTCGCTAGCATCTACAGACTCGATAGATCTACTGGACGAACCGATCGCCAACGACGTACCGGTCACTCTGTTAACGTCCTTGGACATGGAGAGCGACGAATATATTCTGAGCTTGAGCACAGAGAGTATACAGTCTATAGTAGGTAGTACCATAAGCGACCAGCACACAGTGATTGGTTGCAAGAAGTTGCATGCAAAAGCGGACAGCGTCGAGAAGGAGCGAGCGAGCTACGCGGATTGTACGAAGCCGGTGCTGAGACGGAGCACGCGACTGAATCAACAGGAGAGCGACGAGACGGTGAGTAACGGCGGCGGGATGATATCTTCCACGGCAAGTGTCGCAGGAGTCGAGAAACCGTTCAAGAAGGGCAATTCTCCCAATCGAACGGATTCGTGCACGAAAGCGAGACGCAAAGGAAGAGAGGATCGCAAAGTGCCGGATCAACACGGTACTACCGGGGCTGTCGACACGACGCTGCAATGTGTCATGAAGAAAAGCTTGAGGAACAAGAGGAGCAACTCGAAGTTGATGGTGAAAAAGAGCAGCAAGTCTACGTGCGTGGTGGCCAGCACAATGAGCGTAGGTAAAGATGAGGAGTCGAGACTGGCAAAAACAACGATAGCAACGACGATTGATGGGATCGGAAACGAGAGTACGGAAGGATGGATGACGTTGGACCAAGGTTCCGTTTCGCCCGTAAGATTCGACACGATCAGCGGCATCGATCGCGCTCTCTGGGGCGACAGGTCCGACAGGTTGAGCGACCAGGAGAATCAGACGAGTTCGCTCGTGTATTCGCCCAACAACGCGATCCCCTTCGCCGTCGGCTTGCTCCCACTGCGCACCGCGTTGGAGAAGATGCAGGCGACGCCGGACTATCAGCCGCGTAAGACCCGCTCGTCGTTCGCCCCGTTGCGGCAAGACGGTGGTGCGTTGAAGCGCAAGGCGAACGGCGCGTTCACGGACGTCACGAAGAAGCAGATGGTCGGCAGCAACGCCGAAAGCCCGAAGACCGTATGCCATATACAAATTAAAACCGCGCCGTCGCAGGACATGAAGAGCCGCAAGTCGCGGTTGCTCGCCGCAACCGGCGACGGACGGCGCGAGCAAGCAATAACGCAGGTTAGTTAGAATATATTTGCAATGGGATATTCGACATTCGACATGAGACGCCGCGCGTGAGCTCGCAGCTTCCTTCACAAGGACTCTCTGAATAGTCTTTCGACTTTGTGTTTTATAAATCAGAAGTATATATATATATATATATATATATATATATATATATATATATAGGTATATATATATAGGTATATATATTTGTAGGAACTCCTGACATTGGTAATTTATTTCATTTGCCATATGTACACGGTCGAGTGTGACACTTGAGTATCGTCTCGAGATCTCCGCGGTGAGGAACGATCTCCATCATCAGTAGGTGGTGTAAATGTACCGTTGCTTTTACGTCACATTTTTGCAGAAAAAGAAGATTGTCTCTCGCGCGGTAGTCTCTCGTCGTCGCGTACATATATGCATACATACATACATATATATATACATATATATACATATATATATATATATATATATATATATATATTAGATAAAAAAATATGCTCTACTTGAGAAAAACGTCGTGTGTTTCCCATAACTCGTTTATCACGTGCATAAATCTATTTTTATAACGTTAATTTAATTGTAATTTAGCTTGAGATATCATTGAATTTGCAATCACGTAGATTTAAGTGCAGAGATAACATCCCTATTGTGCTTCAGCAAAGTTCAAAGGAAACACCGTCATGTTTTTCTTTCCTTTTCTTCTTTTCTTTCGTGTTTGTAATAGTTTCAGGGACGAATTTTAAGCGTGATAGAATGGCGTCGATTTTGCATGATTATGCCTCATCAAATTAACTCGTTAGCCAGATTGCTTACTACCAGATAATGAACGTATTTGAACGCGAGAAAATGAATACTGTATTATCTCTGGCGACTGTGCTGCAAAAAGATGTATGCCCGGAATTAATTTTAAGCATCTGTAAAATAATGCGCGCAATAGAGAGGGAGATAAGAGGTAACGATAATATTATATTTTTATAAATTTTGGTTTTTTAATTATACACAACACACACACACACACACACACACATACACACTCAGATAATAACTTTGAAAAAAATAATCTTAAAGAGTACTTTGTACCTTCAGAAGCATAGTAGCAATAACTTTTTAACGTGAAAACTCGTGAGTCATATTAGCATGTAACTTAAAGTAAATTAGCAAATTGTAAAACAGAGAGAATAATTTGTATAAATTAATGTAGTGAGCATCGTGCTGGATAATTGCTTATTTATCATTTCAATGTCTACATCGCGTATCTTTTACTTAAAAGGCGTCTCTGTTAGCTTACTGTTGAGTACATTATGACTAACTTAAAATAAGAATGCGTGCTATATAAGTGGTAACGAAGCTCCTACATGTGTGTTTGTGACAGTCACATCGTTAAAGGGAAAAGGAACAAGCGCGTTTTCAATGTACAAAATGTATTTTTAATATAACTTAACCAAACTCACGTGATGTACGAGCGTATATATTTTCTTTTTCCATTTTGTACATTTAGCTACAGTATTCTTAGAATTAAAACAGTTGCTGCTCAATGTAAAAGGATTGTTTATCGCGATGACGTACAGATAGTGTTGAGAAGAAAATATACATGAATGTAAATACATTTATACATATATACAGATATAGATGTATATACATATATTTTTTCACAATAAATGTTTTCGATGGGAATTGGCAATCTTTATAGAGCTTATTCCCATCTTTCTGATTCTGATATTTTGGTTACAGTTTCCGCGTGCTAATATTGTAGAATGTTTCAGTTCAAGACATCCATTTTCAGTATCCTTTTCCAATATCCTTTTCCACGTTCTTCGAACCTCAACGAGATAAGCGAAATGCTCCGGACAATTAGGAGAAACTCGATGACCCGCGACGACTGTTAATTATCAAATCCAAATCATTCATTTTCACGTATTGCGTTGAAGTGATCGCTTCTTCTCTCTCAGGTATACACTCGACGTGCATATATTTCGTGGAATACATCGTACTCTTTGCTTGAGTAATAATAATAATAAAAAAATCAACAAAAAATATTAGGATCCGAAGGGGGTAGAAAGCGGAGCGTGAACGTAAAAATAGCAATGCAACCGCGCGATACATGGTTTTGACACTGCGCAGAAGGACAGACAGAGCGAGAGCGAACGAGAGAGAGAGAGAGAGAGAGAGAGAGAGAAAGATTAAAGAAAGAAACACAGCGGCTTCTATTTATAGCTGTGTAATTTGATTGGCCGCACAAACACGATGACACGCGTGCAATCCATGCGCGACTAGGCGGCGATCTTCATTAGTATGTATACATACTTGCTTATTTCTTTGGTTGACCGATGAGCGATCAGGCAGCTCGATATCGCATGCATATATGTATATATATACATGTATATATTCGTGCGTTTATGTATATGCACAATGTGCAAGAAATTGATTTCATGAATGAATGCGAGCATAAGAACTTGCGACACATTTAGCGCAAAAATGTGCTCACCGAGTTGTGCAATCTTTGTTTTTCTCCTTTCCTTTTTCAATTCTTTTTTCCGCTCGGTGCATCAGTGCACATAGAAGAATAATTCTCGCGAAACTATATCGAGAGAGAGAGAGAGAGAGAGAGAGAGAGGGAGAGGGAGAGAGAGAGAGACGCAAGACGAGAGAAATACCAGCGGGTTCTATAAAAAAGGAACGTATCCTTTCCAGAAATAATACTTGGGACGTGTTTGCGGAATGTGTGCGAAAGTGGCTTCCCGTTGGGAGAAAATACCTCTCGATGTATTATCGCCCGCTTGTTTATCTTCCGTGAAATGGCGAATTAAAGGACGATTGCGGCTAACAGGTAAATCGTCGGATGCGACCGCAGCACAGTGGATGAAAATCAAAACTAGCCGGCCAAAATTCCTAACTTGTCAGAAAATGTATATTTAATAATCATATTCACGATTTAACATCTATAGAGATGTGTAGATTTTATTTTTCATGATAAAATGTTTAAAATATTTAATATGAATGAGGATTAAGTATAAATTTATTTATAATATTATAATTTATAATAAAATTTATTTATAATATAATATTTATAATAATTCCCATTGGCGTCACCCAGGATTAACGACAAGGACGTTGGAAGAAATGTCCCATTTTTGTAGTTTTTTTTATTTTTTTGTATTTTTTATATTTTTTGTTTTTTTATTTTTTTTATTTTTTTCTTTGTTTTTGTATTCCTTTAATTTTTTTATTTCAAGTTAAAACAATTTTCAGTCATTATTTTCATTAGACTCATCTTCTATATTAATAGTCTCAGATTGCTTTAATAAATTTAAAATTTCTGCAGAAATAATTTTGTTTTTTTTGGCAGAAATTTGTCTTAAAGATATAATGTAAGAATCAGAGAAAACAAGCAATCTTTGGAACAAATCCTCATTTGTTGCAACTCTTGAACATTTTCTTGTATGATGCTGTCTAAAATATCGGCAGTCTTTATTTCTTGCTTCTTGGGCTTCTTTAGAAAGAAGTCCAAGTGGAAGAATGGCAGTCGATATTATTATTTCACCATAGCCTAATAATTTACATAGAGTTGGTGACATTGGATACCAACTGTAAACTTTCCTGTACAAATTCGCAGTTTCTTTGCAATATTCGCCAAATTTAGTACAATCGATTTCATGACCAGAGGAGATGGCTTTTAGTAAAGTGGAAAGTCGAATAATAAAGCCTTCGTCAATATCAGTAATTTGATTGGATACTGCTGGATTCTCGAAGAACCTACGTGCAGTATTGTCATCATTCGTGTTTTCTGTTCCTTGCTTTGGGATATCTATGATTAATCGCAGTCGCTTTTGGAGTTGACCTTGAATAATTTTTTTTTGTTTTTCAAATTCTATTTTATCAGTGCCACGGATGCACCATTTTTTTAGCGTCATTCTGTAAACAAGGGACAGGCATATTTCGAAACATCTTATTAAACAATGGAACTTGCTTCTTCTTAGAAGAAGAAGCAAGTTCTGTAGCTTTAGTTTTATTTTTACAAAGAGAAAACAGTGAATTTGGAATTACGAATTCCTTTTCTAGCCATAATTTTGTTGTTTCGACGAACCCATCAGAACTTTTCCGTAATTTCGACTTTCGTTGTGCAATTTTAGTGAGAAAGATATAGATACAATTGTATAGATCTTTTTCAGTAGAAGACAAACATTCTGAAATACCCATCTTGTTAAAAATAAAATTTTTCAAAAATTCCATACGGGAAGATGGTTGATTTGTATTGCAATTTTGTAATGCTTCATACAACTGAAGTCGCGTGAAATAAACCATATTATTATATAACTAAGCCGATATATTTTAAAAATTTGCAAAACCAAAATCTTGTGCGGGTCTACTAATTTATAATACTCGGTGTAGTTTTACGAACAAAAAAGTTCTTTGCCTTCAAGCAGTTCTGTGAAAGTGAGTTCGCACACAGTCGCTCTTTCTCTACTACTACTATTTTCAGGAAAACTACTCTTAAAATTAAGACAGATTGTTTGAAATTAAAAATGTATCTAAATTTTTAACAAATTTTTAAAGTGTAGTCTTGAAAAAGAACAAATTTTTTTCGTGCCGATTTATATAATTCGAGGTCATATCTTATTTTCAATAGTTATCAATATGAATTTAAAACAGAACACACATTATGTTGTATAAAAACACTTCCATTGACTTCCGCGCTGAGACTTATTTAGCATGAAGTATATACCCAAACAAACTGATGTATAAAAGGAGATGAAGCGATTCATCTTTTCCCAGTACTTCTCAAAATTATAAAATAAGCCCTTACAAAATAATCAAGCAAATATAAAATATTAAATTATAGAAAAAACAAAATACAATACCAAAAGGTGACGAGAAATTATAAAAACAGCAAAATATAAAAATTTAATGAGATAGGCTTGTTGACAAGATTAGTGATTCCTCATAAAGTGCTACATACAGATACAATTTGCTGTGAATTGAGGAGCGCTGGGAATCGCTTCATCTCCTTTTGTACATTAGTTTGTATGGATATATACTTCATGCTAAATAAGTCTCAGCGCGGAAGTCAATGGCAGTTTTTTTATACAACACAATGTGTGTTCTGTTTCAAATTCAAATTGATAGTCACAAAATTTTCAATATTAAAATAATCTTAATAGATTAAATAATGAGATAAACGATTTCTCGTCGTAGGCCCATTACTTGATAGATGATAGAAAAAAATGTTTCATTGATTACATCAACATTAACTTTAAGTAATCACTATGTACTTACATCAATTTGCAAAAACTTCAGCAAATACTAAATTGTAAGCTAAGTTTGATCATCGATATTTTTCTCATAATATTTCATATTTCATTAAAACTCTTATATTCGTGTTCATTCGTAACGTAGAAAAAAAGAAAAATTTATATTTGATCAAAATTAAAAATTTTATTTTTTCCATTTTTGGCCACCTAATATCGATTTTCATCCACTGTGCGCAGGTTACTTGAATGCGGCTGTACTGTTTCAGCTAATGAGATATACGCGAGTGCACAAATAAGTCGCATTTTTCGTTCTCACTCTCTCCCCCCTCCCCGCTCCGTCTCTCTCTTTCTCTCTCGCAAGTGCGCGCGCGTACATCATTGCGCGCTAGCACGCAGAAATAAGTTCTTCATTACGGTATATAAATAACAGCCTCTAGGACTAGTAAACTATTCAACCACGTAACGCCACGTAATGTATAATCGAGCTGTTAACCGGCGGGGTTTTGGCGAGTCTCGCGTTCATTTTGGCCATTTAGCTCCGTCCGATCGCGCGGTTAGCTTAAAATCGAACGCGATCGACACAGAGCGAGCGAGATCGATCTTTGAAGGATGCGACTCAGATTCGACAGATTCGGGGATATGCACCGATCGCGGGCGATCGCTGCTCGACAGTTACGCAATGTTTCTCTCAAATGGGCGATCATGCTTCGGAACGTTTGGAATTGATTTCCGAGCGATTTTTAGTCGCCGCGTCCCCTTTTCTTGTCTCCGCAACGTGGTGTCTTAGCAACGATCCGCTTGACGCTTATAGTTACGACACGCGACGCTCGTATTGAATTTTTTCTACATGTGAATCTCCACGTATTTATACATTGCTAAGGCGAAACAGAGAGAGAGAAAGAGAGAGATGAAACGAAACGAAACATAGCGACAGCCCCGAAATGATGATCGCCCGAACTGATCGTACGAGTGCACTGCGCTTCGGCGACGTCTCGGATGTGTCGCGTTTCGAGAGATCGGAAGAGAGCCGGTCCGGGAAGCGACGTCGCTCGCTTCCGAGTCGCGATCGATCGGATCGTCCGTCACTGTCTTCATCGGTACTGTTACTGTTGTCCAGGGCTCGCGGCTTGATCACTCGCTCGACGACGTGGGAGGAATTCGAGAGGCCTCGCAGTCTCAGCGTCGAAACGACGCGCTGACGAACGTTATACGAGCCGACGCGTTAAGCTCGAGCTCAGAGAGAGAGAGAGAGAGAGAGAGAGAAAGAGAGAGAGAGAGAGAGAGAGAGAGAAAGAGAAAGCGAATCGAGGAAAGGACGTGCCCGACGAGGCAGGTCGACGCAGTAGCGCAGCAGCACGGTGCAATCAATGGGCGCATATTGATCTCAACCTTTCGCGCGCGCCGAGTATCCACACCTGCGAAGGCGGACGAACGGTGTGAGAGAGAGAGAGAGAGAGAGAGAGAGAGAGGAGAGAGAGAGAGAGAGGAGAGAGGAGAGAGAGAGAGAGAGAGAGAGAGAGAGAGAGAGAGAGAGAGAGAGAGAGAGAGAGAGAGAGAGAGAGAGAGAGAGAGAGAGAGAGCGTGTCTCTCTGTCTCACGTCGCGCGCAAATCTTCGTCGACTCTGTCGACTTTTGCCTCTCTTTTTGCTCCTTAACCCTCGACAAGGTACAACAATAAGCGTCCCTCAGATGTCATCGAGAGATGGTTTCTCCTATTTGAAATTGTGCGTGAAAGTTTCGTCGAGAATATAAAACGAGAAGAGAGAGAGCAATGATTGCAGTTTACGATACGTGATTTATGAAATGTTCAATCGATTTCTCGATAATACACGTTCGATAGCGCACGTTGTTGTTCAAGCGCATAAAACGAGCGTGTTACCGCGGAATACCGCGGAAGTTGACACGCTCATTCGCGCGTCAAAACTTCGACGAGCCTTGGCTCGTCTGATTCAAAGCGATGCGATGTCTTATTTTTGTTTTACGAAAAGAAACGGGATTTTTGCATTTGCAATGCGAATCTGGATTCTTTTCTTCCTCCGTTTTTCAACCGTTTCGGAGCGCACGCGGAATTTGAAAATTTTCGAAGAAGCGGTCAAAGCGATCGATCGTTCGTCTACGAATTCATCGATATATCATATTTCGATATCTCGCGTAAAACTCGCATCGCTAACGCGTTCCCACGAGACTGTGTGGCTTGGTTTGCACAGTTTCTTTCGACGGATTGCAAATTTATAGAGCTCACACGAGTTCTCTCCGGAGTAAACCACAGTCGCTTGTTCCGTCGTTAAAAAATAAAACAAAACACGTGTGCGTATCGATCGATCGCCAATTCCGACCAATCGACAGGTATACGTGTTAATTGATACGTGTTAATTGACAAACTCACTGGGGAGTTTTTGCAACACCCTTTCTCAGATACGTTAAGCGTGAAATCGTGAATGCTATTGGTCGCGTACATTGCGACGTTATTTCCCAGTGAGTAACGTTCGTACGATTTACGTTTACCGTATCTGAGAGACGATGTTGCAAAAAGACACGGTTTAAATAAGCTGAGAAAAGGCGCGCTCAGTCAGTGCTTCCGCCACGGCGCGGCAGATGGCGCCGCGGCGAGCGCGCCGAGCGGCCGGATTGGCTGCTTCGAAAGTAGTGCCAGACATGTGTCGCGTTTCCCGCCTCCGGTGCGGTTTGTGTTGTGTGTGGGGGTCGCGCCAGTCCGGTGAGTCGGAGTGTAGAGACACGTAGAGAACAGCGCGTAAGGGCCTAGGCCGGAATCGAACCGCGGTGTCTTGGTCGGCTCTTCTCTCTTTCTCCCTCCTCTCTCGATCTATCTTTCTCTCCCTCTCTCCCTCTTTCTCTCACTCTCTCTCGCTCTCGCTCTCTCCGGCACGCACGACGCGCGACGCACGCAAGTAAGCGGGCGAGCGAACGAACGAGCGAGTGAGTGAGTGAGTGGTGAGTGAGTGAGTGAGTGAGTGAGCAAGTGAGTGAGTGAGCGAGCGAGCGAGTGAGTGGAACAGCGAGCACGCACGCACGTACGTACGTACATACGTACGCATGCACGCACGCACGCACGAACGCACGAACGCACAGCAGCAGCAGCAGCAGTAGAACAGCAGAGCAGAGTGAAGCAAAGCAGAGCGGTAGCGGTGGCTCCCTGTCCGCGCACTGTCCGGTGACCGACCGTGGTTCGGCTGTGTCCGTCCGTCGTATTATATTCCCGGCCCGAGAGAGAGCAAGGTTGCTGGCACGTAGTTGGTGTTGCGACGCAGGAGGCGGTGGGGACGGACGGACTGACGGACGGACGGACGGACGGACGGACGGACATACGGCGGGTGTGCGATTCGCGGTGTGCGCGTACGAAGCGGCGGAACGAGGAGCAGCGAGAGAGCGGTTTGGGACTGTGCCGGCCATGGAGAAGCGGATAGAGCTCGAGAAGCGGGGCAGAAACCCCGGCGACGTGAGTCAAATCTTTGGATATTATTTGATTTTCGCGTCGCTTATTGCTGTGCCTTCAATCTTTATCTCTCTCTCTCTCTCTCTCTTTCTCACTCCACCGCCTCTCCCCCTCCCCCAGTGTTGTGCGTCTTCTCTCCCGATGTGTTTCTCTCGTGTACACTCTTTCACTCTCTCTCTTTGTCTCTCTCTCTCTTTCTCTCTCTTTCTCTCTGCGATTCGCACGCGCTCCTTTATTACGTGCACAGGAGACCCACGCATTTACGCGGTGCTCGCGCTCGCGCTCGCGTCGCGTGCCACGCGACGATGTATGTCGTCGTCGTTGTCATTATCATCACCATCATCATCGTCACCGTTATCGTCATCATTGTATGGTCATTGTGCCCCGTCGTTGTCGTTGCGTCGCGTTGCGTTGTTGTTACCGCCTGGGTTCTCGCGGTTCGCGGCCGCCGTACGACCGAGTTAAACAGTCGGCGGCAGCGGTAGCGGTGGCGGCGGCGGCATTCGCTCGCCGTTGCCGCCGCGAAGGAGAGACGGTGAGAGGAATGAGAGAGAAAGAGAGAGGGAGAGAAAAGACAGAATCGCCGTGTTGCCCCGCGCTTTGGCGGCCGCGCGGCGACACAACACCACGCATTCGCTATAATGCGATACGCTGCAAGTGCTGCGTCCTTTTCATTTCTCTCTCCCTCTTCTCCTCTCTCTCTCTCTCTCTCTTTCTCATGCGTTCGGTGAGCATTTCGTCTCGACGGTGACCGCGTGGCCGCCACCATCGGGCCCCGTGGACGGATCGTCTCCGACCGGGACACGGCATATGCACGCACTAACGATGGCCGCGAACGAGCAACGGGCATGGCGCGTCGGAGAAGCTTCTCGATTCTCTTTATCCCTTCCCTTCTCTTTCTCTTTCTCGCACCTCGGCACGTACTCGTCTTTCTATTCTACATCCTTCCGACTGCTCCATTTCTCTCTCTCTCTCTCTCTCTCTCTCTTTCTCATCTTTCAGCTTGTTTGCTCGCATATCCGCCGTTCTATTTCGCGTGGTTTCTCTCTCTCTCTCTCTCTCTCACACTCTCTCACGAAAGGCGACCGCGCGTCGATCGACGACGCGACCAATCGCCTTCTCTCGCCCTCGGAAGTGATCTCGCGGCGATCGGCATCGTGACGCGCCGTGCGTCTTTCGTCTCGACTCGACTCTCGCCTCGTCTTGTCTCACCTCACCTCGTCTCGCCTCTGCCTCGCCTGTTACTTCGCCAAGCCTCGCCTCGTCTCTCTCATCGCGTTGTACGAGTGAGAAATTTTGGACGCTACGCGGGCGCACGACGACGACGCGCCGTGCCGTGCCGTGCCGTGCCGCGCGATCGGCGCTCTGTCGAAATGCCGGTGCACGGCGATACGGCGGGTTATGTACATACGACGTCGTGCGTGCATGCGGCACCGTTGCCCGCGCTATGTGGTTCCTTAATCGCGCGCGTTTATATTAATACGCGATCGCTTATTCGCTGCCTGCCGCCTCTTACCGCGAGACGCGGGGAGATACATATTATGGCGATCGGGCGCGCGCGCGAGTCCATGACCACGACGACGACATGACGACGGGGACAATAATTTGGAGGAAAGGCGGTCGTCTTTCCGCTAACGCCGCAAGAGAGAGAGAGAGAGAGACGCGCGATTGCAGAGCCGATCGCGCGTCATGCATCGAGCGCACGCACCAGCGTGTTCTCTGCAATTAATGGTGGATCTCTCGCGCGGCGACATTGTCGCTCGACTTTACATCCGAGTGGATAATCGATCTCGCTCGTTCCCCCCCCCTCTCTTTCTCCCTCTCTCTCTGTCTCTCTCTGTCTCTCTCTCTCTCTCTCTCTCTCTCTCTCTCTCTCTCTCTCTCTCTCTCTCTCTCTCTCTCTCTCTCTCTCTCTCTCTGTCTTCCTTCTGTCGAAACGCGCGCGCGGCACACTCGGTGTGCGAAGGAGGACGGATTTATTCGGTGGCAATTTCACTTCCGCGTGTTAACAAACTCTACACGAGGTTTACGTTCTATACGATTTCTCAAGTAATGACAAAACTCTCTGGCACGCCAAGTTCGCCGCCACGCGACCGGCCACGGTGCACGTTGCGATTACTCGGAGAATACTCGTCGATACTCTTCTCGCCCCTTCGGTCATGAAAATTCTCAACCCGCGGCTAGTCACTAGTTGCATTTCTCCAGCATTTTCATCTCGTCGTCCCCGGCTGCTGCACACCTGCGTGCGTTTTGCGTGCATGCACGCGAGCGGCGGGACGGGTTAAAGCCCAAACCGAGAATCGCAGTCGAATTTCTTCTCGCTCGTTCTTCGCGTACATATCTCTCCTGATGTCGAGAAATTGAAATATCGCGGGGTCGCGTCACGAAAGTATACAGCACGAAATCGCTGATAAAAGCTCGGAAGCTTACGATCGACATATTTGCGATCACGACAAAGCGTTGTTCGGCGACGTGCTCGGGGAGATGAATCAGTCGGACAGCATCGTGGAAAAATCGCACTGCGATTATCCCGGGTTAATCGGCGCCGCCGTTACGATACGAACGTAGAAATTTGTTTGCCCGAACCCCGGCGTGTTCGCTGAGTTACATAAGTGATTGATGAAATCTCCATCATCGCCGCGTTCGCGCGTTAAATGCGTGCGCGCCAAGTAACGAAATACTCGAACGTGAGAGAAAGAGAGAGAGAGAGAGAGAGAGAGAGAGAGAGAGAGAGAGAGAGAGAGAGATCGCCCAGGCGGATTTTTATATCCGATCGGAATCGATCCTGCGATGTTTCCTGCGAGCAAATTCGTCAGATCGGATCCCGGTGTATCGCGCGGATAAAAATATTTGTAGATTCATTCGCGAGATAAGATACTCGCCAAGTGAATCCTCTCCCGCGCGATGGGGAACAACAACGGGGGCTCCTCGGCGAATGCCGCAGGATCTACGATTCCGATTGAGATTAATCTCGACGAGAAGGATATAATCACACGTGGCTCGCGATTTTCCGCCGAAACGCGTCACATTTTCCATTAACGGTCGCGCTCGTTAATTAGGCGCGACTAATTGCGAAGAATGGAGCGTGTGCGCGTGTGTATACGCGTGTGTATACGTGTGATCCCGTCGAACCTGACTCGTCGCACGGCTGCCCGCCGGCTGCATTTTCGGAAAAACGCTGGAAAATGCCACCGGATTGATGGGCCGCCGCGACGAAGGAAATGTCGCAGCATCTGTTGAAAATTGTCTCTCGACCGCGAGAACAAATCTTCGTTAGCAGCGGGGCAACCTTGCGATAATAATAATACGTGTTTCGCCGATACTGCGTAAACTGCGCGTGTCTCGACTTTGGGCTGACGAATAAATTAAACCTGAATGGAGGAGAGACCGTTAATTACCCCGCGCGCAACGTCGATTATGCTTATACTTGCATCCGTGAAAATCCTCGCAAACTTTGCAATCGGAGCAAATACACATACATGCGCGCGCGCATATGCATGCACACACCCACACAGACGACCGGCAGTTTACAGCGTGTCTCTTAGCAAACTTCCCTTCTAGAACGCGTTGTTCCTGTCAGCGATAAAGCGTTTACGGCGGTGCTACGCGCAAGAGCAGTGTATGTCGTGCCGCCAGCTTGTTGACAATGATCGTTTGCGAGAATCTTTCTGCCATCGGTGTGACATCGATCGGCGTGAAAAAGTCGCGACAAGGTGGTGCCACTTCCGAGAGAGAGAGAGAGAGAGAGAGAGAGAGAGAGAGAGAGAGAGAGAGAGAGAGAGCGAGCGAGCGAGCGTACTCCGAAAATGCTCTCTCGGTTAGACACGAGCACACGCGGCGTCCTTGATGAAAGTCGAGCGTTTTCGCTCGATATCGGCGAGAATCTGAGAAGCCTCTCTCGATCGTATTAGTAAGCTCTAAAAAGGGGTAAAATCTCGAGTAATTGTCGCGATATACGAGACAACCGATTCAGCTCTCCTCTCTCTCTCTCTCTCTCGCGCGCGCGGTGGCGTCGCCGTGCCTCTTTCTCGTGGTGTTCGATTGGCGGCAATGGCGATGGAGATTGTTACGTGGCGCGAGGCAACGCCGAGCGAAATTAGTCCGGCGTGTGTGATTATTTGTCTATTGTATTTCCTAACGTCGAAGTATCGTCACACGGCGCTTCTGATTAGCGAAAACGCGCGGCAGAGATCGCGCGAAGCGAGCGGCGCGCATGCGCAGCTCGGCGCCACGTTATGTAAATGAAACGGTCTCTCGCGCTCTCGCTCGTTCGCTCCCGCGTGCACACGCGCGCGCGCGCACATGCTCGTTCCGCCGCCATGAGAGACGCGCGTGCACGCGGGCGGCTGGACGTCGCCATTGCGCTGCGGCGCCGGAGAAGGAAGACACTTCCGCCCTGGGAGAGAGGAGAGCGTCGCGACGTCGTCACCGACGGCGATGTGTCGTCCGTGCGCTCGTTCCACGTACTTGGTGCGTAAGTACGCACCGCGCTTCGCGATGCACGTATACATGTGTGTGTGTGTGTGTGTGTGTGTGTGTACGTGTATATATATATATATATATTATGTCGCCCGCTAATCATCGCATCGCCATCTTGGACGAGTCCACTCTGTCGTCGGTGGTGACTCCGGCCGATTCCGGCCGGCCGCCGAGACTCGTGGAGGAAAGGAGCCACGCGGCGCACGCACGAATGCACGCACGCACGGACGCACTGTTTCGCGCTCGCGACCCGACGCAACGGTCGTTCTTTTCTCCCTTTTTCTCTCTCTCTCTCTCTCTCGGAGTCGGCGCGAAGCGACGACGCGATGTTATATACATAGTATCGTCGCTTCGCGCCTCGCCGTCGTGTCGCGCCGTGCCCGGCCGATGTCAGCCGGCATCGCCCGACTTTCTCAGGTGCATCGCCGCATCGTCCACGCGGCGTCGCCTGTTCGTACGTGCGTGGGCGTTCGCAGAGCCGTAGCTAGGGTGTGGCGCAAAGGCGGGCGCCCCCGGTGTTTCGCTCAGCACTTTTGCTCACGGCGTGTCGCCGTGAAGCTTCTCTTCGATTGTCCAATTCCGGATTTCCGAAATTGTCGATGCATTACTGGAGATTTTTGCATGATGATCGTTACATCTCTCTCTCTCTCTCTCTCTCTCTCTCTCTCTCTCTCTCTCTTCCTCTCGGGATTAGCAGAGGAGGGGCAAAGGGAAATTTTATTTTGTCACGTGCGCTTGTCGTGTGATACAATAATCTTAAAGCTCATCATCAGACTCTCCTTAGGCTATTATCGCTATAATTACTTTGATAATCACATCCGGAAATGTCACGCCATAAAAGTTGGACGACGTGACACGTACGCATTCGTCGGCCTTCTTGCTCCGTGACTGCCATTGATCCACTCCTATGACTTCTCGTAACGATGCCACCGCGATCGGTGCAACGTCGGACATGTCCCTCGGTGGACGTAACAGAAAGTATAACGTAGAACGTAACGTATATACGAGATGTCCATTTCGACGCGCGGAATCGTGGGAAGCAGAGAAAAAATGGCATGCAGTCCGACTGAATTTTCTCAACGAGCATTCGAAACGAAATCAATCGGGAGATCCGCGGAGCAGGGCGGGGTCTGAAATGTCGTGTTACCTCGCTGTAATGTAGATTTACCACGCGACGCGACGTTCGAACGCATCAAGTACCAAGAGAGTACATCCATTGCGTCATTTGTTTCTCTTTCGGTCGCCACAAACGGAGCGAGGGAGGGACGGAAAGTATAGGATTACTTTACAGTTTGACCAGGTTTACCGGAAAAACGCGCGAAAATTGGAAGCCATTTTTTTTTTTCCCCCAAAGCAGGATCAAGCAGCAAGAATCGACGGCGTTGAGATATCGAGAAAATCATTGATACTTTTTTCAGCAACAAAGTATATCGATGGCAGCAGCCACCACCACCACCGCCTCCCCCCTCTCTCGGGCTCGGCGTCGCGTGCCGCAGTCCATGCTTGTCGCTCGCCGGCTTTTCCGACGCCGCTAAACAAGACGCGGCATGCACTCCGCTTACCGTCACGCCTCCTCCCTCTTTCTCCTTCCTCTCTCTCTCTCTCTCTCTCTCTCTTTCTCTCTCTCTCTCTCTCTCTCTCTCTCTCTCCTCTTCTCCAGTTCTAGAGGGAGAGGGGGAGAGAGAGAGAGAGAGAGGCGAGCGTGCGCGCGCGCGTTCCTCGTCATCCCCGCACCTCCTCCCCTTTAACTCCTTTCCGGCTCCGCTCTCGCCCTCTCGCCTTTCTCTTTCTTCGATCAATAAAATAGCCCATCTCCCGCGAAAGCTTATCGCTCGTTTGAATTTTAGCGTGAGGATGCCGGCCGACTTTTTTTCGTGTGCCACCCGATTTATCTCCCTCCTTCGATATTTCTTTCTCATTCCTCCTCGACGATCCGTCTTCTTTTCTTGTTTACGAGGAGAGAGGGGAGAGGAGACCGCGCAGAGAGAGAGAGAGAGAGAGAGAGAGAGAGAGAGAGAGAGAGAGAGTAATGTAATACGCATAATTCCGCGCAACTATGGGCCACGATGATATGGATTTCGATCCGGTGACGTTCGTTTCCCGAACGAGATTTCTTGTGTATGTAGTACGTGTGTACCGCGCGCGTGTGTTTCGCTCGCGAATAATTTAATAAATATCAATCTGGAAAATTGCACGACGCATTACAATTTTCCACGCGAAATAATGCATTCAGCTGCTATCGTCGTACATGTTGCGCTCTGCTTCAAGTATATTTCAATTCAAAGTATATCAATTTATACGCAAACGCGTTTCCCCTGTCGTTTGTTGATACACAAACAATTGGATGCTTCACGTTATCTCTTGTCTTTGTTACAGATCAAAGAACTTGTTCTTGATAACTGCCGGAGTACGCAAATTGTGGGCTTGACAAGCGAGTTTGTCTCCCTAGAATCATTAAGTCTCATCAATGTGGGTCTTACCAGTCTAAAAGGCTTCCCAAAGTTATCCAGTCTCAAAAAGGTACGTTTGTCTCGCAAATATGTATCGCGTACAATTATGTATACATACGAAAAATATTCGAGACATCGAGACGCAGTGACGAGATATCACAGAGGAAAAGTATATAAGTATTGAGCAATTTAGAAAAGACAGGTCGATTGTTTATCGCGAGGGCAAATCTTCTTTAAATGCAAAATAATATTGTTCTGTTTATGCAGCTGGAATTGAGCGATAATCGGATTTCGGGCGGTTTAAATCTGCTCGATTCGAGTCCCAAATTAACTCATCTGAATCTGAGTGGGAACAAAATTAAAGATCTCGACACGCTACAGCCATTGGTAAGTTCTCACGCTTGTTGTACACTTTATTAGGTGCCTGTTAGTCGTCAAGCAAAATAAACAATAATCGCTAACGATCTTTTCGCACTTTAGAAAGAGTTCAAGAACCTGAAGAGTCTCGACCTCTTCAACAATGAAGTGACAAATATGGATAATTACAGGGAGAAAGTTTTCAATCTGATCCCCAGTTTACGATATCTTGACGGGTACGAAGTTACAAATTATATCACCACACACAGGAGTAAACCGATTTGTATTTTTCTTCGCAAACCAATCTAAGCATGTTTCGCTTGTTACTTTTCAGATTTGACGCTGATGACGATGAAGTCGATGAAAGCGAGGACGATGAGGTAAACGGAAACGAAGACGGAGATGGCGACGCCAACGAGGAGGAGAGTGAAGATGGTTGGTTGAGAAAGAGTTCGATTTTATGATAATTATAAATTGCGGGTAGTAATATTGTGTGTATTTATGCCAAATTGTAGTTTCAGACGAGGAAGACGACGAATTTTTGGATGACGAACCAGGATTAGACATTGTGTACAAGGAAAACCTCGAAGTAAGTTTCGTTTTGTATTGCAAATAATTTGCAATACGAGATTACCGGCATGAAAGTATGCTTAAAGATGAACGGTATGTTCTTTTGCTCATTAGATGATTGCTCATTATTCCCATAGCATGATTACGAACTTGCATTTTGCAAGTTTTATAGCTTACATTGATCTAGTTTTCCAGTGTAATTAAAAATAAACACATTGATGTGATAGGATGACAGTGACGAAGAAGATTATATGGGAGAAGAAGAGGAAGAAGACGATGAGGAAGATAACGAAGATGAAGAACAGGACGAAGAGGAAGGTAAGAAACTTTGGAATTTTTCTTGCATTTCTGCTCGTTTCCATATAGAATTTTAAAGCTAATACGCGGTGTATTTTAACGTGACGAATACAAAGCACGAGCAAGAGAGTTCAGATCTCTTGTGATTTTTGCATTGAAATATATTTTCGTTTGCATTCTTTGCTAATGGTTAACTTTGATGCCTTGTACAACGGTGCTGATTACTGTGCAGAATTGTCACCAGTGCGAGGAAAGAAGAGAAAACATGAAGACGGAGGCGATTCAGGGAACTAGAACACTTAAGATGAAGGCAAATTTCTGGTACTGTTGAATGAGTGTAAAATTCGTATAAATAATAACAATAATTGCGACGCCGAGTGAACAGCTGGGAATCAAACTAATCGACCGACCAATGACAGACTCTACAGTTAGTGATGTGAATTTATCAGTAATTCATTGACTGAAGAAAATTGTCTGTGTAACAACAAAAGATTTGCCGTTGAAGCAGGAGCGGGTGATGCGAGAGATATAAGGGGAAAGGAAATGAATGCTGGCATAAAAATAGGGCTGCATTCCAGCTGGACACAGCACAGTTTTAGTTATACTAACGATATTTTATATAGAGTATATAGTGTTAGAGTATTAGTGGTGTTGCATAGAGTGCACGAAAGATCGAATATTAAATGAATCATGAAGAGAAAGCGTGAAAGAGGAGGAGAGACAGAGAGAGAGAGAGAGAGAGAGAGAGAGAGAGAGAGAGAGAGAGAGAGAGAGAGAGAGAGAGAGAGAGAGAGAGAGAGAGAGAGAGCGAGCGCGAACACGCAAGCGTGCCTGTGTGTATGTGTGTGTGTGTTTGTGTGTACGTATGTGTGTATGTATGCGCGCGCGAAAGAGACAGAAATAGAGAAGAAGGAGAGGCAGTGGAGTTTTACACTTGAAGGAGCATATTTGTCTGTTAGCTCCAGTCGGCCAAAGGCTGGTCACGCTGGAATGCGGTCATCGTTAATCAGTACTAAGGTTACATAAGTTACATTTTAAATACATTATTATTGTACCGTGAAAAAAATAAGTATAGAGTAAACGCGAGGAACAACTTTTGTACAGGTTTACACCATACATCGAGGTGCATTATATGCCTCTGTGATTTTTGGGACAGAAAATAAAGAGAGAATATATGTTGCTCGTATACGTGAGCGTATATATCCGACTAAGATGGGACGGGATCGGGAAGTAAGTCAAAAGAAAAAAAAAGAAAACAGAAAAAGAAGTAAAAAAAAAGTAAACCGGGAGTCGCTGTGAGCGACGTTGAATGCACGCGCGTTTGCGTATTTTCTCTTATAAGAAATGTGCGATTCTGTATCATCAATACGGGGGATGACTATCGATTTAGCGGATAGAAAAGCAAACAAAAAGAAAAGAAAACGAAAAATATCAGATAATATGTATTGTCGTTTTCAAACGAGCAATTCCGACGATGAGTAGAAGGGAGTTGCGCAAGATCGACGAATTTTTATCCGACGAATGAAAAACGCGAAATTCCACAAATACACCTCGATCGACGTGTTGAGCGTTGTTGCGAACGCGGACACGGTGTTATCCTAAGTTAGACTTTTTTCTAGTAAGCTTTAAGTTCCAGATATCCTATGTATGTACCAACGGCGATCGGCCGCCGCCCGGCGCATGGCTGTTAGGATTATTGTTATTTACTCTCGGGCATTGCGTAAGAGAGAAAGAAAGAATTGTGCTCTACTGTATTAACGTGAAGGAAATCGATTTGATTATTGCCACGATTTACTAAAGTAACACCCACTTTTCAAGATTGTACAGTTTGTACAGTTTTACATTGTACAGTTGTATAACTCGATCTCTTCGCTTTCTTTGATTTTTTTTTCTTTTTTATATACATATGTATATGTACATATATGTAGGACATCCATAGAGAGCTATCGTATTTTCTTTTAATTATACATCTCGTATTAAACGCGACAGAGGAAAAGAGCCGGTGGTAAAATGTCTCTCAAGGCGACATTGATCGATAATAAATCTGAAAACAAACATTTTGTCTATTTTATGCGGGAATTCCTTCGAGATGGAAAGTCAACGGTCGGAAAGTACTGAAATATTCAATGTTGAAAATTAAGAGAAATTGCGACAAATATGTATTTGCATCGGGTTTTCGCTAGAACGACACCGCATGCAACAACATTCACTAGAGTTGCTTTCTTTTCTCTTGCGAAAAGAGATACGATAATTCTGGGACATCCTGTGTATGCCACAGTATACAATTTTGTCAGTTGATGTAATTGATTTTTCTATAACATTATGTAAACTGTGCAGCAGAGGCCTCGGTGTGTATCTTTGGAACGAATTGCTAAAGAAACAAAAGTCAACATCGTGTGTGCGTCAAGATACATTAATCTTTAATTTCTGTCTCTGAAGTTACCATTGCGCTGAATACATTTCGTGATGAATGACGAAGAGTGCGAAGATATGATAGTTGATGGATTCATCCCAATATTATAATTAATATTAAATTACAAGTATGATTTTTTAAGGGACAACAAATATTTACACTCGCGCTTTCGCACTTTTCAATTCTACCGAGATCAGAAACGCAAAATTAGATGTAGGGGGGGGGGGGCGGTTATTAAGAAAGATATGAGAAGACATGAAGAAAATATGAGAGAAAAATGCGAGTAGAGCGACACACTTAACGATACGATGGGCGTAAGATAAGAGAAAGAAAGGAAGAAAGGTCTCGCAGGATGGATCAGATGATGTAGTTAATGGTGGGTGAGACTGTAACGAGTAGACTGGACGGGCAACCAGTCAACTACATAATCGTGTGAGAATGGATGTGGGAATGTGGTAGAGCGAATGAGAGTGCAAAGAGAGCGAGGATCGGTTTTATAAGAAAAAAAAGAATAAAAAATAATAATTATGATAGAGTCGAGGACCTGGCGCCTCCTTGTCGCCAGTTTGGTTATGGCCTTATCCAATTTTTCCAAGACTAAAGCAAATTTATATTAGGTACAATGAGTAAATGTGACATGTACAGGTCCAAATCTGTAAATTTCCAATCTTGCAATTCGTAATTGCGGCTCGCGCGGAAAAGCGTATTAAAGAGTTAAATTATAAAAATAATTAAGAATTTAAATTATAAATAATTTTTCGAGAGAAAGAGAGAGAAAGAGAGAAAGAAAAAAATATTCCGCGCGCCCCGCGACGTACACGTGACACTTACACACATACACACCACACTTTTGTCAATTGCGATTTTGGATAGACCATTTAAGTAAGGGGAAAATGAGAAAACAAATTTGTCTATCACCTTCTCTATTATCAGATATATTACATCTGTGTACTGTCTGTCTCTGTTTCCGTTGTTAAAATGGATTTTTATCATAACGTTTGTTTATTTCGAGCAATCCTCATCACACAAAATAAGAAAAGATAATTTATTAATAAAACCATTTACAAATCAATGTGTGTGATCGTTGCGTTCT